CACACACACACAGCAGTGACACTCCACAGCTAGAGAGTGACTAGACTACCACACACACACAGCAGTGACACCCCACAGCTAGACAGTGACTAGACTACCACACACACACACAGCAGTGACACGCCACAGCTAGAGAGTGACTAGACTACCACACACACAGCAGTGACACCCCACAGCTAGAGAGTGACTAGACTACCACACACACACAGCAGTGACACTCCACAGCTAGAGAGTGACTAGACTACCACACACAGCAGTGATATTCCACAGCTAGAGAGTGACTAGACTACCACACACACAGCAGTGACATTACACAGCTAGAGAGTGACTAGACTACCACACAGACACAGCAGTGACACTCCACAGCTAGCGAGTGACTAGACTACCACACACACACACACAGCAGTGACACTCCACAGCTAGAGAGTGACTAGACTACCACACACACACAGCAGTGACACTCCACAGCTAGAGAGTGACTAGACTACCACACACACAGCAGTGACACTCCACAGCTAGAGAGTGACTAGACTACCACACACACACAGCAGTGACACTCCACAGCTAGAGAGTGACTAGACTACCACACACACACAGCAGTGACACTCCACAGCTAGAGAGTGACTAGACTACCACACACACACAGCAGTGACACTCCACAGCTAGAGAGTGACTAGACTACTACACAGAGCAGTGACACTCCACAGCTACAGAGTGACTAGACTACCACACACACACAGCAGTGACTCCCCACAGCTAGAGAGTGACTAGACTACCACACAGACACAGCATTGACACTCCACAGCTAGAGAGTGACTAGACTACCACACAGACACAGCAGTGACACTCCACAGCTAGAGAGTGACTAGACTACTACACAGAGCAGCGACACTCCACAGCTAGAGCGTGACTAGACTACCACACACACAGCTGTGACATTCCACAGCTAGAGAGTGACTAGACTACCACACACACACAACAGTGACACTCCACAGCTAGAGACTGACTAGACTATCACACAGACACAGCAGTGACACCCCACAGCTAGAGAGTGACTAGACTACCACACACACAGCAGTGACACCCCACAGCTAGACAGTGACTAGACTACCACACAGACAGCAGTGACACTCAACAGCTAGAGAGTGACTAGACTACCACACACACACAGCAGTGACACCCCACAGCTAGAGAGTGACTAGACTACCACACACACACAGCAGTGACACCCCACAGCTAGAGAGTGACTTAGACTACCACACAGACACAGCAGTGACACTCCACAGCTAGAGAGTGACTAGACTACCACACACACACAGCAGTGACACCCCACAGCTAGAGAGTGACTAGACTACCACACACACACAGCAGTGACACCCCACAGCTAGAGAGTGACTAGACTACCACACACACACAGCAGTGACACCCCACAGCTAGACAGTGACTAGACTATCACACACAGCAGCCGCGAAACCCCACAGCTAGAGAGTGACTAGACTACCACACACACACAGCAGTGACACCCCACAGCTAGAGAGTGACTAGACTACCACACACACAGCAGTGACACTCCACAGCTAGAGAGTGACTAGACTACCACACACACACAGCAGTGACACTCCACAGCTAGAGAGTGACTAGACTACCACACACACACAACAGCGACACTCCACAGCTAGAGAGTGACTAGACTACCACACACACACAGCAGTGACACTCCACAGCTAGAGAGTGACTAGACTACCACACACACACAGCAGTGACACCCCACAGCTAGACAGTGACTAGACTATCACACACAGCAGTCGCGAAACCCCACAGTACGTACTTTAATTGTAAAGGTTGTGGGTTCACTCTCCAACACACGACCGGTTTAAGTGCTGAAGGTGTCACTTATTAGGCACTTTTTATTTACGTGGCAACCCGTCGCTAATTGGCTGAGTGGAGACACGTTTTTATTCACGCGATATAACCCGACAAAAAAAACGCCTTCATTGTGGATGATACTGGTAGGAACCTCCTGGTTACACCAGCCCACATGGGATTATTGTGTCCGTCCGTCCGTCGTGCATCCAAAAATGGGAGGGGTGGGGCTGGGTAGAGAGGGGTGGGTGGGGAGGGGTTGAGTGGGGAGGGAGGGGCTGGGTGGGGAGGGTGGGGAGGGGCTGGGTGGGGAGGGTGGGGAGGGGCTGGGTGGGGAGGGTGGGTGCAGGGTGGAGAGGGGAGGGTGGGGAGGGGCTGGGTGGGGAGGGAGGGGCTGGGTTGGGAGGGTAGGGAGGGGCTGGGTGGGGGTTGGGAGTGGTGGGGTTAGGTGTGGAGGGGCTGGTCACCCCGTGGTGCCCTTATAAAACTACACCACGTGGTGCCGCCGTTGTTGACCCTGGCCATTGACCGAGCAACCCGACGTTCCTACCAGCTCCCTCCGCAGGAATGTGTTAACACGGGACCTTTTTTTCGCCACTATCAAAGTATACAAAAATAAGACTAAGTTTTGACGGTGAGACTAGGCCATGAAGAAGTCTCTGGTGGAGGCCAATCAGTTTCAAAGACAATGCATAGATTATTCACAAAGCATCTTCACCACAAGTACTGTCTGTGTGACTAATGCAGACATAGTTTTTACAATTTACGAGTAATACTCTATTATCTACACAATATACATAGACGTAAAATCGTGAGAACAGTAGCCAATCAGTTGTTTTAATTGTCACATTTGAATTCAGCACATCAAAATCCATAATAAAACAGCACATTTAATCTCTGAAGCAGACGTCTAAAAAAATGTATACCAGTGTTACTCTTTGGTTCTATTCGGTAAAGTCACGTAGGTAAAAAATAAAACAACAAAAATCACGACGTTTCGGCCACAACACAAGCGGCCTTCATCAGGTGAAGGGACCAGACTGTCTCGAGGGCAGCGCTGGAGAGAAACACAGCCATGCTCAGACCGCGGACCTTTAAGCTGTGTGCGAGGAAACAAGGTGCCTTGACAAAGGAATTAGCATAAAAAATAGCATTTGATTGGCCGATTTAGCATAGAGGTGGTGTACATGCGGGTGCACATGCCGGTTGGCGCGGGGGGGAGGGGGGGAGTTTACCTATTGATGGTGTGAAAAGGGAATTTAAGAGCTGCGAAAGTTTGGGGTACCACTACTTAAAAAAATATACTGTACCATTGAAAATGAGTTTAATGTTTGGTTCGATTCAGAACATCTTTCCAATGGTTGCTTAATTTGAAACCATCTTCTTGGTTGAAATTGTGTCTGTGCTTGTAGATCGTCATGATTTTTGTCGTGATTTCTGTTGTTTTATTTTTTTACCTACGTGACTTTACCGAATATAACCAAAGAGTATGGATCCTTGCAGTCACGAAAGCTTTAAATCTAGAATATACCAGTGTTATCAGAGGATGTTTGTTCGCATGTTCACCACAATTACTCTCTGTGCTTAATGCAGTACTTAATTCCTTGCAAAATGTTTCTATTTGGTGTCTGAACATCTAAAAAAAACAACTCATGCTTTACTGCCAGAAAGGTTCAAACCTATTTTTTATTTTAATATTTTTGATACTGGTTAAAAGCTCCCATGATTACAGCTGCTCACCCCGAGCCCTTAAGCGCTCTGATAGTGCCATTGTCTCTGTGCCGTTCGCCTTTTGGCGTTGTCCTCTGGTCTGACACTGGTGGTGAGAATAGGCCTTGAACAAGTCTCTGGTGTAGTCCAAGCTGTTTCATCAAAGACAATGCCACGGTATTATTATTATTGTCGGAGCATGCTTTTTTATGCACGGTCACCTACAAAGCACCGCGTGCGGTTAATGCGGAAATGATTCCGTGCAAAACTTTCTTACTCGGTGTTTGAACACGTTGACAACACTGTTTAATTGCCAGAAAGGGTAAAATACCATTATCGTATTGTTTTTTCCATACCGATGGATAATATTGGTCGCGGAAGGCTACTCACGTGTTAAACTACCGCATGTGCACTCTGCCGAACAGGGGTGGTAGGAGGAGAAGGGTTGGGGGCAGGGAGGGAGGGGTGCTGGATATCTATGGAACCATATGAGGACGTACAGACGTCAACACAAGGGATTCCGTGAATCTAACCGAGATGGTTGCGAGGCAAAGGGCCATCGCCAGGGCGCAGACCGAATGAACCCGGGCTCTCTCTCTCGTCCACCCTCGCGTTGTTGTGACCCACGTCGCAGCTGCTGCTGCTGCTGCTCTTGTTGTTGTTGGTTGTTGTTGTTGTTGTGCACCGTACCCAGGCCCCGGATTAAGATCGTGTAGGCCCCCTGGGCTACAGGTACTCGTGATGCCCCCCCAGCAATATTTACAAAAGGAAAACAAAGTTAAAGAAAAATAAAATTGTATTTTTTTTACAAGGCCAACAACAAATACAAATTCAGCATTCACAAACTAAAGTAACTTTTCACTTCATCTCTGGAGGCCCTCCAGCTGCCGGAGCCCCCCTCGGCTGCAGCCCCTGGAGCCCCCCTGGGCTGTAGCCCCTGGAGTCCCCTGGGCTGTAGCCCCTGGAGCCCCCCTGGGCTGTAGCCCCTGGAGCCCCCTGGGCTGTAGCCCCTGGAGCCCCCTGGGCTGTAGCCCCTGGAGCCCCCTGGGCTGTAGTCCCTGGAGCCCCCTGGGCTGTAGCCCCTGGAGCCCCCTCGGCTGCAGCCCCTGGAGCCCCCCTCGGCTGCAGCCCCTGGAGCCCCCGTGCCTTGATCGGGCCCTGGCCGTACCGTGCGTACGGCGTCGTGAAGAGGTCCGCGGCGCTGCGCCCCCCCCCCCCCATCACCGTGCGCTATCGTCACGGGGCCACGCGCGGCGCTTGGCATCCCCGGGGTGAGAGGTCGGGGTGTAGGGGGTTGGTGCAGCGGGGGGTGGGGTGGGGGGTGCAGCGGCTGGGGGATTTGGGGGGGGGGTGCAGCGGGGGTGGAGGGTGCGGGTCGGGGTGCAGCGATGGGGGGCGGGGGGGGATGATGCGTGGCGTCAAATCCTCTTGGAGGGGATCAGCGTTATGAAACCCTTCCGTGCCACCCGCTCGGGGGATCATCTCTCTAATCAATCGGAGAAGCTCAGTGAAAGCGAAGTGTCTGTCTCTGGCCGTGTCCGTAGCCGTGGCAGATTTTTTTTCTCTCTCTCCACGGCCAAAACCGCTCACCCCACCACACCACACCAGACCCCACCCCACCACCGCACCTCCAACAACAACAAAATCCCTCCAGCAGTAGAGGACGCGTCCCCTAAGAAGGAGGGAGGGAGGGGATTATTAGGAGGAGAGATTGGTCAGTGGACATCACGCTCGGTCGAGGAGAGTCCGTCAGCGCAAGAGCCGCACACAGCGAAGAGCCCACTGAGCCGAACGTTGAATTATTCTTATTATTTGCAGTTTCTTACAAATATTGATTTCGATTTTCTTACAATATTTGCTCACGACATTTTCTTACATCGTTGCTTACAATATTCGCTTACAATATTTGTTTTCCATATTTGCTTGCGAAATTATTTGCTTACAAACGTTGATTTTCGATTTGCTTTTCAAATATCGATTACAAATATTGCCTACAAATATTGATTCCACGCGGGCAATCACTTCCGAGGGAACATCTTACTCAGTTGGCAAGGGCCTTCGAGTGACGGCTTAACGCGTTGGTTCCGGTCACCAGAGTCCGCAAGTCCGAGACTCCATCGGTCCATGACACTTTGTCGGTGTCCTCCATCGACCGGTCCCGTGGTCTCGCCATGAGCGCCGCGTTCCTTGAGCAGCAGCAGCAGCAGCAGCGGCGGCGGCTGGAGCAGCTGTAGCATCAGTTGTACGCGGAGGGCACAGGGTGGACCCGTAGCGATGGTGAAGCCGGTGGGCCCTGCTGCGGCCGAAGGGACTGCCCCTCCCGCGGGCCCGGCCGGCGGGACGGCCCCTCCCGTGGACCCGAGCGGGCCCCGTGGCCACGCCGCGGCCCGGTTCGTGTGGGCCCTGCTACGGCGCGGCCGCGTGGCCCCGAGAGAATTGGAACCCCCGCGGCTTCTCCACGTGATGCCCGCGGTGCAGGTGCGGGTTGCCTGAGCGATGGGTCGTCTTGTGTGTCTCCGTGTGTCTGTGTCTAGCTTGGGTATGCGTAGCTCCTTGTCTCTCTTATGTCTGAGTCTGTGTGTCTCCGTGTGTCTGTGTCTAGCTTGGGTATGCGTAGCTCCTTGTCTCTCTTATGTCTGAGTCTGTGTGTCTCGGTGCCTCTCCTGTGTCTGCGTTGGTGTGTGTCTCCGTGTGTCTGTGTCTAGCTTGGGTATGCGTAGCTACTCGTCTCCCTTATGTCTGAGTCTGTGTGTCTCCGTGTGTCTGTGTCTAGCTTGGGTATGCGTAGCTCCTCGTCTCTCTTATGTCTGAGTCTGTGTGTCTCGGTGTTTCTATGGTGTCTGAGGCTTGTGTGTCTCCGTGTCTCTCCCGTGTCTGAGTCTGTGTGTCTCCGTGTCTCTACTGTGTCTGAGTCTGTGTGTCTCCGTGTCTCTACTGTGTCTGAGTCTGTGTGTCTCCGTGTGTCTGTGTCTAGCTTGGGTATGCGTATCTCCTTGTGTCTCTTATGTCTGAGTCTGTGTGTCTCGGTGCCTCTCCTGTGTCTGCGTTGGTGTGTGTCTCCGTGTGTCTGTGTCTAGCTTGGGTATGCGTACCTCCTTGTCTCTCTTATGTCTGAGTCTGTGTGTCTCGGTGCCTCTCCTGTGTCTGCGTTGGTGTGTGTCTCCGTGTGTCTGTGTCTAGCTTGGGTATGCGTATCTCCTTGTCTCTCTTATGTCTGAGTTTGGTGTGTCTCGGTGCCTCTCCTGTGTCTGCGTTGGTGTGTGTCTCCGTGTGTCTGTGTCTAGCTTGGGTATGCGTATCTCCTTGTCTCTCTTATGTCTGAGTTTGGTGTGTCTCGGTGCCTCTCCTGTGTCTGCGTTGGTGTGTGTCTCCGTGTGTCTGTGTCTAGCTTGGGTATGCGTAGCTCCTCGTCTTTTTTATGTCTGAGTCTGTGTGTCTCCGTGTGTCTGTGTCTAGCTTGGGTATGCGTATCTCCTTGTCTCTCTTATGTCTGAGTTTGGTGTGTCTCGGTGTTTCTATGGTGTCTGAGGCTTGTGTGTCTCCGTGTCTCTCCCGTGTCTGAGTTGGTGTGTCTCCGTATCGCTCCCGTGTCTGAGTCTGTGTGTCTCCGTGTTTCTACTGTGTCTGAGTCTGTGTGTCTCCGTGTCTCTGTGTCTAACTTGAGTATGCGTATCTCCTTGTCTCTGAAATGTCTAAGTTTGGTGTGTCTCGGTGTTTCTATGGCGTCTGAGGCTTGTGTGTCTCCGTGTCTCTCCCGTGTCTGAGTCTGTGTGTCTCCGTGTCTCTACTGTGTCTGAGTCTGTGTGTCTCCGTGTCTCCGTGTCTAACTTGAGTATGCGTATCTCCTTGTCTCTCTTATGTCTAAGTTTGGTGTGTCTCGGTGTTTCTATGGTGTTTGAGGCTTGTGTGTCTCCGTGTCTCTCCCGTGTCTGAGTCTGTGTGTCTCCGTGTCTCTACTGTGTCTGAGTCTGTGTGTCTCCGTGTCTCTACTGTGTCTGAGTCTGTGTGTCTCCGTGTGTCTGTGTCTAGCTTGGGTATGCGTATCTCCTTGTCTCTCTTATGTCTGAGTCTGTGTGTCTCGGTGCCTCTCCTGTGTCTGCGTTGGTGTGTGTCTCCGTGTGTCTGTGTCTAGCTTGGGTATGCGTACCTCCTTGTCTCTCTTATGTCTGAGTCTGTGTGTCTCGGTGCCTCTCCTGTGTCTGCGTTGGTGTGTGTCTCCGTGTGTCTGTGTCTAGCTTGGGTATGCGTAGTTCCTCGTCTTTTTTATGTCTGAGTCTGTGTGTCTCCGTGTGTCTGTGTCTAGCTTGGGTATGCGTATCTCCTTGTCTCTCTTATGTCTGAGTTTGGTGTGTCTCGGTGTTTCTATGGTGTCTGAGGCTTGTGTGTCTCCGTGTCTCTCCCGTGTCTGAGTTGGTGTGTCTCCGTATCGCTCCCGTGTCTGAGTCTGTGTGTCTCCGTGTTTCTACTGTGTCTGAGTCTGTGTGTCTCCGTGTCTCTGTGTCTAACTTGAGTATGCGTATCTCCTTGTCTCTGAAATGTCTAAGTTTGGTGTGTCTCGGTGTTTCTATGGCGTCTGAGGCTTGTGTGTCTCCGTGTCTCTCCCGTGTCTGAGTCTGTGTGTCTCCGTGTCTCTACTGTGTCTGAGTCTGTGTGTCTCCGTGTCTCCGTGTCTAACTTGAGTATGCGTATCTCCTTGTCTCTCTTATGTCTAAGTTTGGTGTGTCTCGGTGTTTCTATGGTGTCTGAGGCTTGTGTGTCTCCGTGTCTCTCCCGTGTCTGAGTCTGTGTGTCTCCGTGTCTCTACTGTGTCTGAGTCTGTGTGTCTCCGTGTGTCTGTGTCTAACTTGAGTATGCGTATCTCCTTGTCTCTGAAATGTCTGAGTTTGGTGCGTCTCGGTGTTTCTATGGTGTCTGAGGTTTGTGTGTCTCCGTGTCTCTCCCGTGTCTGAGTTGGTGTGTCTCCGTATCTCTCCCGTGTCTGAGTCTGTGTGTCTCCGTATCGCTCCCGTGTCTGAGTCTGTGTCTCTCCTGTGTCTGAGTTTGTGTCTCCGTGTCTCTCCTGTGTCTGAGTTGGTGTGTCCCTGTGTCTCTCCCGTGTCTGAGTTTGTGTATATCCGTGTCGCTGTCTGATTTGTATTTTCGACGGGAAATCATCGAAAGACAAATTCAGCACGTTCAGCACAACTACTTTAACACGTAGCCTTTCGCGACCAATATTTATCATAATAACCCAAAAACCTTTATTACTTACAACTTTGTTTCATCAAACCCTATGTATGTATTCGCATTATACATTATTTTAACGAGCGCGAACCACAGGGTGTGCAACGCTGCAGCAGAGGTTAAGAAACACTGCCTTAGAAGAAGTCGCGATCCGTTGGTCTCGGAGACATCGTTTTTGGGAGTACCAAGAAGGATCAGTCCCCACAACAACACAAAATCGCCGCTGGCTCACCGCTCTGAGAATCTGACGATCTGACATGCGATCCCTCCGGCCGCGGCTAACATCAGTGTCGAACGCTGTCTTAAACCGAGTTGCGATCACACCTCTGTTCGCCACACCGCCACTTGAGCTGCAGCAGCAGCAGCAGCGGCGGAGTGGCGTAGCGTGGCCATAGAATCACGGCGGCGGGGAAGGCTCTCATCCAGTAGTGGGCGCTGTGGATGTCGCTAGATGTCATCGGTAGGTGTATCTTGTCGCTCGATGTCTATAATAATAAATAAAACATCTGGCCATGTCTGGCACCCCCAGAAAGGGCGGCACACACCCCCAGAGCGTGCGTGCACCCCAGGTTAAGAACCACTGGTTTAGAATATTTGGCTGCTATGAATGTTTACAAGAGCTGAAGTTTTCGTGGCTGCAGGGAGTCATACTCTTTGGTTCTTTCTTTAAAGTCACGTATTTTATACCTACAAATAAATTCAATTATTTCATGCTATTTTATACCTACGTGACTTTACCGAAAGAACCAATGAGTATGTTTACAAGAGCCTTTTTGGTTTAACACGTAGGCTTTCGCGAACAATATCAAAAAAAAAATTTAGACTCGGCGAGAATCTCCCCGTGGGTTAAAAACCCAGAGCCGCACCTTCGATTAGCACGGTGGCTAGGAGATGTTAACTACCTCGCCTGGTATACAGGAGGTCGTGGATTCGATCCCGACCCTGACGCCTGCTGCTGCTGTATATTCGGAGCTTGCGGTGTCTCTTCCCCAGTGGTCGCGCGGATTTTTCTCCGGGTCCTCCGGTTTTTCCCCTCCACGTTTAGAATCGACGGCACGTGTTTAGAGCATTTGGCTGCTCTGAATGTCCACGTGAACAGCGATTTCGTTGAGATATCATTAGTTTTAGCAAGGTCACTTCTGAAAAAAAAGATAGCTGTTTCGATAAAGTGGGCCTCATCTGGTCAAATAAAAAAAAAGTTTGGAGTTTATTTTCACTCGTGCTGGATGAGCAGAAGCGGAGTGGGTGGTGGTAATCAAGAAGCTTGCCCCATCCATTGAAACTGCCACCCCCGGCACGAATTCCTACGCCAGCTCGTGACGTCTATAACAACCGCCCAGCATATTCGAGGGTTCCACCGACACACACCCAACTGCTGATTAAAACGCATTGCATGGCTATGATTTATTTATTTTTTGTGCCTTTGGTTTTAACCAGAGCGTTACGGTTATTATTATTATTCGTCTTCTCGTGATTGTTTAACGCGTGCATGAGTTATTAATGAGGTTGCCTGCTGAATAATTGCGAGCCTCGCGTGCGCGAGAGAGGCTGCGTCTTGCGCGTAAGGCAGTGCTATGAAGATGAATACCGCAGGCAAAATCCGAATCTTCGTTTATACTGCAAGAGGAATCCGATGAGCTATGAAGCAATTTTTTCCACTGATGTCCTCTAGGGGCACGGGGTAGGAACGTTACAACAGCAAACGGTACAAAGAGACCATAGGAGTGCAAACGCGTAGGGAAGGTAACAAATCACAACAAATAAAACGAAACTATATTTTTATTTGACCAGTTAAAGCCCACTGGACGATTAGATTTTTTTTTATCTATGTGACGGCAAGGTAACTGCGGTAGAATTTGTACCTGGATCATTAAAGCAAGTTGCACCGTTGGTATGTTACGTTTTTTTATTTCTTTACATACAAATAACACATTAGAATCAACAAAAATAACAGGACAGAAGACGACGTGAAACATATCCAGGACAGGTGACGGCGAAAAAGGGGCGAGCGTCGATACAAACCCGGCGGAATGTGCCACGTGGTACCGACGTAACGTGCTGCAGTGTGATTTGTGTGTTGTGAAGAAGGGTCATTGCCCGAAACGTCGCCTATTGTATTTTTGTTTTCGCTAGAGCTCACACACACACACACACAGGGCTATTGACGACTCCGTGGTGTGTGTGTGTGTTAAGAGTAGGGGAGCGGTGGTGCAGTGATTAGCGCGCTGCGCTACGAACCCGGCGACCCGAGTATCGATTCCCGCTCGCGGCCAACACCAGTGACGATTTTCTGAACCGGTCTTGGGCCTCCCCTAGGTCGGCTCAGCATCAAATGAGTGCCTGGTGCGGTGCGTAAACATCGCCCACTGGGGAGACAAAGGCGGCCGGGCGTGGTGCTGGCCAACGTGCCCCCTAGTGTGCCGTCCGCCCCAGCCTTCATAGGTGCTGCTCGCTAATAGCACTTGCCCCAACATTCTGTTAAGGCTATAGGGGGGAACTTGGTCTTTGTCTTGCCAGTAAAGACCCAAGGCTTTACGCTAAGGCGTCTAAGCATTCAATTTTCCCGGCGCCTCCGCTTTCCCATTCTCACTGATACCTTGACCCCGGTTGCTATGAGATGACGACTTGAACCTGGTTGCTATGCGACGGCGACTTGAACCTGGTTGCTATGAGACGGGGACTTGAACCCGGTTGCTATGAGATGGCAACTTGAACTCGGTTGCTATGAGATGGCAACTTGATACCTGGTTGCTATGAGATGACAATTTCAACCCGGTTGCTATGAGACGGCGACTTGAACCCGGTTGCTATGAGACGGCGACTTGAACTCGGTTGCTATGAGACGGCGACTTGAACCTGGTTGCTATGAGACGGCGACTTGAACCTGGTTGCTATGAGATGACAACTTCAACCCGGTTGCTATGAGACGGCGACTTGAACCCGGTTGCTATGAGACGGAGACTTGAACCCGGTTGCTATGAGACGGGGACTTGAACCCGGTTGCTATGAGACGGGGACTTGAACCCGGTTGCTATGCGACAGCGACTTGAACCCGGTTTCTATGAGATGGCAACTTGAACTCGGTTGCAATGAGATGGCAACTTGAACTCGGTTGCTATGAGATGACAACTTCAACCCGGTTGCTATGAGATGGCGACTTGAACCCGGTTGCTAAGAGACGGCGACTTGAACCCGGTTGCTATGAGACGGCGACTTGAACCCGGTTGCTATGAGACGGCGACTTGAACCCGGTTGCTATGAGACGGCGACTTGAACCCGGTTGCTATGAGACCGCTGCATCATTCGTTACATAACGCCGCGCCAAATCATGGACCCATATCGAACATGTAAGGCTCCTCGCCTTAGACACAGCCGGCATTTCACAACCATCATTGGTTTCGGGCAAGCCTGGCCCTGCCGATGAGACAAGGCAATAAAATATTTGTAAAAATAATAATTGCGATGCTATGTAAATAAAAATAACAATTTGCTAAACCCTGGCCACAATATCTGGACTTGTCTTCATATAAATCAATGCATAGACTTCTGTTTGTATGATTGTGGTTATGGTTGTTACTTTATTAATCCCTAATCTCTGCCATTACATACAATGAAACAAGAAATGGTAAAAAAAGTAAAAACAGAGCAATGTAATACAATAACACTATTAGACATTATTGTAAAAAATAAATAAAAAGTCCATCCCATGTGCCAGTGAATTTTTTTTTATATTTTAGGCAGAAAATGGCAGGAAAGTCGTTTTAAAAATTTAGATTTTTTTCTGGGTGTCGGGGGGGGGGGGGGGGGCCCAGACCCCCTGGAAGATTTGGTCCCCCCCAATGTCGACTCCATGGCTACGGCCTTACGATGAGATGCTGAATGTGGGAACCGCTCCAGAGTTTTCGCCCCGCACTGATTCGACGCACCTGGAAGGCGACCCAGTCCCAGGACACCGCAGGGCAGGATTTGGGGTTGCGTGAGGAGACCCTCGTGGACAGCCCGAGGCGTCGACTGCTTCTTGTTCAGTTCGGCGACGCGTCCATGGCGTTCTTGTCAGGCGTCAACCCCACGTGTGTAGGTGTGGTGGTGGTGGGTGGGTGGGTGGTGGTTGGTGGTGGGTGGGTGGTGGTAGTGGGTGGGTGGTGGTGGTTGGTGGTGGGTGGGTGGGTGGTGGTTGGTGGTGGTGGGTGGTGGTAGTGGGTAGGTGGTGGTGGTTGGTGGTGGTTTGTGGTGGTGGTTGGTGGTGGTGGGTGGGTGGGTGGTGGTGGTAGTGGGTGGTGGTGGTTGGTGGGTAGGTGGTGGTGTGGGTGGTGGTTGGTGGTGGTGGGTGGGTAGTGGTGATAGGTGGTGGTTGGTGGTGGTGGGTGGGTGGTGGTGGTAGTGGGTGGTGGTGGTTGGTGGGTAGGTGGTGGTGTGGGTGGTGGTTGGTGGTGGTGGGTGGGTGGTGGTGGTGGTTGGTGGGTGGGTAAGTGGGTGGTGATGGTTGGTGGTGGTTGGTGGTGGTTGGTGGTGGGTGGGTGGGTGGGTGGTAGTTGGTGGTGGGTGGGTGGACTGTCCCGGACCCCACACGGTGCGAGGTTTGCCCCAGGCCCCACACCCCCCGCTATGGACGACCCTGGCTGTAATTAAACAAGTCCCACATCGTAGGGATTGCACCTTTAACCCTTGAGACGCAGCGCCTCAGTGGGCTTGCAGCTCAGAGGGCTCGCCGGTTACATTCGATTTGTGATCTCCGGGCGCGGCAGCCGTTGAAACAACGGATGGCAAGCTGTGACTAAAATGCCACCGACTGCCGACAACACAACAACCACCCCTGTCACTTGGATCTCACTCTGCGTGGGGGGGGGACAAGATTATTTTTGTATTTATTTCCCTCTCTTCTCCCCCCCCCCCCCCCATTCATTTAAACGTGACGAATTGAAGAGTGGCAGATTCGTCTCCATGGTGACGATTATCGGTAGTCATGGTGACGATTATCGGTAGCCATGGTCACGGAGGCCGGCCCACGTTGCCTCGGTGCGGCGTCAGCAAACGACGGTGCCGATGGGATGAGGCCGGAGCGGCTCCTAAGCGCCGAGTGACGCGTGCGGTGCGGTGTGGTGCGGTGTGGTGCGGTGTGGTGCGGTGTGGTGCGGTGTGGTGCGGTGCGGTGGTCGACTGGACCTCGGTGTGGCGGACGAGACGAAGCGGCCGGCGTTTGGCGTCCACCGAACCTTCCGCACGGGTGGAGGAATCGGCGAGTGAAGTTCCCGCGATCAGTGACCGCGATAGGAGAGCGATAAGAGGGCGGCGAGTTGACCGCCGGCGAGCGACTGGAGTGAATGAGTTCGTGCCTGATCATTGGTCGGCTACGTACGGTGCGAAAGAAGTTCAGCGATAACACACATTGATCGAAAGCATCCTCCCGCATGCAAATGACAAAGTTTTCTGTTGCCTCTGTTCTTCTTGTTGTTGTTGTTGTGATGCCTAAGGAGGCAAACAGAAGCGGCTCTTCTGAAGATGCCAGGACCACTACCACCTCCACACAGGAGCATCAGAGTGAGTGGATGCGAGTTTCCCAACGGAGTGACGCCTCTGTCCCCGAACGCAAACGCGTTGACGCGCAGTGGTGCACACTTGCAATCCGGATGGCCGCCAGCTCGCTACGATCTCCGGGCGCGGCAGTGGAAACAATGGTCAGGCCCACCTAAATCCCAACCCGCCAACCCTACCACTCCACCCCCCCCCCCCCCCCCCCCCCAACATGCAGAGTAATTCGGTACAACCACGATTAGTCGGACGGCACACGAGGTCGCACGTGGTGCGGTTAAAGCAGCGCTTCTTCTTAACCTGGGGTGCACGCACCCCCTGGGGGTGCGAGGTGCCCTCTCTAGGGGGCGCGTGATGTTGATTCTAAGTGTGGAGGGAAAACCCGGAGGGCCATTGAGAAACTCCACGCAACCGCTGGTAAGGCCCACTGAGCTATAAAATAAGTGTTTTTTTTGTTTTGTTCAGAAGCGACCTGGCCACAAATGGTAACTCAACGAAGTGGCTTTATCGCGTGGAAATGTATCGCCGCCAATACACTAGACCAGTGGGTCTTCTTCTTCTTAATCTGGGGTGCACCGCTCCCCCTTGGGGGGTGCCAGATGCCCTTGCTGAGGGTGCAAAACGTGGCCAGATGTTTTTTTTCTTAAAAGGTAAATCATCGTCGACACAAATTAATTTCCGGTCACGTTAAGTAACAACTTACTTTGCTTCCATCACACCCCTATGCATTTATTAACATTATAAAAAAATATATAATGTTTGTATAATGATAACCAAAGCGGTGTGCAAGGCTGCAGGAAATGTTGAGAACTGCCTGGGTTGAAAGGCGCTGCGGTTAACTCCCGCCTCTTCCGAGACTTCTCTAGGATCGAGTCGGCCAAAGTGGCTCTAAGTGACTACCACCCACACCCACCCACCCACACACACCCACCCACACCCCCATACTGCGGGCATCAGATTTGATCGCGATCGGCAGAGTTGCAGACTTTGGCCGTTCGTTTGTTCCGTGTCAGACGGTGGCATTTTTTGTTTGTTTTTGTTGTTGTTTAAAGATGGCAGAGCCACATGCTTCATATCGCACTGGGATGAAAAAGCGTTTTCTCGGCGTGTAGATTAGCACGCGAATGACGAATGACACAAGCGCGTCTTCAAATACCAGGCTAATTCAGAGGCGGAGTATCCAGGCATATACTTGTTTATCTGTTTTATTATCATAACACACACGCGAGGTCGGTTTACTGCACGTTGCGTGGTACAGTGAGGGAAAAAAAAAGTATTTGATCCCCTGCTGATTTTGTACGTTTGCCCACTTACAAAGAAATGATCAGTCTATAATTTTAATGGTAGGTTTATTTGAACAGTGAGAGAAAGAATAACAACAACAAAAAATCCAGAGAAACGCATGTCGAAAATGTTATAAATTGATTTGCATTTTAATGAGGGAAATAAGTATTTGACCCCTCTGCAAAACATGACTTAGTACTTGGTGGCAAAACCCTTGTTGGCAATCACAGAGGTCAGACGTTTCTTGTAGTTGGCCACCAGGTTTGCACACATCTCAGGAGGGATTTTGTCCCACTCCTCTTTGCAGATCTTCTCCAAGTCATTAAGGTTTCGAGGCTGACGTTTGGCAACTCGAGCCTTCAGCTCCCTCCACATATTTTCTATGGGATTAAGGTCTGGAGACTGGCTAGGCTACTCCAGGACCTTAATGTGCTTCTTCTTGAGCCACTCCTTTGTTGCCTTGGCCGTGTGTTTTGGGTCATTGTCATGCTGGAAATACCCATCCACGACCCATTTTCAATGCCCTGGCTGAGGGAAGGAGGTTCTCACCCAAGATTTGACGGTACATGGCCCCGTCCATCGTCCCTTTGATGCAGTGAAGTTGTCCTGTCCCCTTAGCAGAAAAACACCCCCAAAGCATAATGTTTCCACCTCCATGTTTGACGGTGGGTATGGTGTTCTTGAGGTCATAGGCAGCATTCCTCCTCCAAGCACGGCGAGTTGAGTTGATGCCAAAGAGCTAAATTTTAGTCTCATCTGACCACAACGCTTTCACCCAGAAGACCTCTGAATCATTCAGATGTTCATTGGCAAACTTCAGACGGGCATGTATATGTGCTTTCTTGAGCAAGGGGACCTTGCAGGCGCTGCAGGATTTCAGTTCTTCACGGCGTAGTGTGTTACCAATTGTTTTATTGGTGACTATGGTCCCAGCTGCCTTGAGATCATTGACCAGATCCTCCCGTGTAGTTCTGGGCTGATTCCTCACCGTTCTCATGATCATTGCAACTCCACGAGGTGAGATCTAGCATGGAGCCCCAGGCCGAGGGAGATTGACAGTTCTTTCGTGTTTCTTCCATTTGCGAATAATCGCACCAACTGTTGTCACCTTCTCACCAAGCTGCTTGGCAATGGTCTTGTAGCCCATTCCAGCCTTGTGTAGGTCTACAATCTTGTCCCTGACATCCTTGGAGAGCTCTTTGGTCTTGGCCTTGGTGGAAAGTTTGGAATCTGATTGATTGCTTCTGTAGACAGGTGTATTTTATACAGGTAACAAGCTGAGATTAGGAGCACTCCCTTTGAGAGTGTGCTTCTAATCTCAGCTTGTTACCTGTATAAAAGACACCTGGGAGCCAGAAATCTTTCTGATTGAGAGGGGGTCAAATACTTATTTCCCTCATTAAAATGCAAATCAATTTATAACATTTTTGACATGCGTTTTTCTGGATTTTGTTGTTGTTATTCTGTCTCTCACTGTTCAAATAAACCTACCATTAAAATTATAGACTGATCATTTCTTTGTCAGTGGGCAAACGTACAAAATCAGCAGGGGATCAAATACTTTTTTTCCCTCACTGTACACGTGTGTGTGTGTGTCTGTGTAAAACCGGTTTATGTACCGATTTTTCTTGTCTCATACCTCGCTGTAGTTCATTCGGTTACCGGTAAATGCAACAAACTCCCAAAACCGGTTAACGAATGAGAACCAAAGGGGTGCAGGGGTGCAGTGAAGGTGAAGAACCGCCGGTCTAGACATGTGATGTTCATTCAAAGTGTGGAGGGAAAACCCGGAGGACCTGGGGAGGAAATCCACGCAACCACGGGTAAGGCCCACTGAGCTATAAAAAAGTGTTTTTTTTTGTTCAGAAGCGACCTGGCCACAAATGATAACTCAACGAAGTGGTTTAACACGTGGGCTTTCGCGACCAATATTATTCATAATAAACGTTTTTGGGGTGGGCTAAAGTAGTGAACTATTTTGTCTTTTGTCAACGTCACACTTTGTTTTTGCTGATTGGCCGTGTCGGGTGGAGGGGGGTTACGACACATTCATAAATAACGCGATCTAACCCAAAAACGTTTATTATGAATCAACGAAGTGGCTTTATCACGTGGCAATGTATAGCCGCCAATACACTAGACCAGTGGGTCCTCTTCTTCTTCTTAACCTGAGGCTCACCGCTCCCCCCTGGGGGTGCGAGACGTTGCCAGATGTTTTGTTTTTTAGAAGGTAAATCATCGACAGCACAAATTAAGTAACAACTTACTTTGTTTCATCAAACCCCTATGTAGCTATTAACATTATATATAAACATTTTTTTTTTTTACGATTTGAAAACCACAGGGGGTGCGAGTTCAGTTTCAGTTCAGTTTATTTATTTGGTATAGCCCTGCGAGGCTGCAAGTAAAAGTTGAGAACCACTTGGTCTGGTTCGAACCTTGTGCTCTCCGCTGGGAACGCCGCAGGTTCTGTCACCTGGCCCCTACCACGATGCCTGCGGGTTGCGCCTTTAGGTTTTAAGCACCGAGCGAGCGGTTGCCAATAGCCGCCCGCATCTCCGACGCGGGTCCGATCGGAGAGGCCTCGTGTAAGCGGGAGGAACAACACGACCACTACCACCACCAACCACCAGCAGCAGCAGCAGGAGAAGAAGAAGAAGAAGCAGCGATCGGCAGCATGCCACGTGACAACAAGGGACTGGAGCTGTCACGCCTGGTGAGAGATGCTCCGGCAGGCAACGCCAATAGCAGCAGCGGCAACAGCAGCTACTCGGCTCCAAGCTCCCCGTGGTTGTCGGGGCAGCTGCCCAACATTCCCGCGCCGCCGCCCCCGCCGCCGCCGGCGCGTCCTGCCACGGCGCGGCTGCCTCCTCCGCCGCGCCGGGCACGCGGCGCTCACGACAGGAACGGCATCGCCAACGCAGCCTTCTCGGCCGACGAGTGGCCGCACAGGATAGGTGACCCCCCTCCCCTCCCACCTACCCCACCCCTCCCACCTACCCCACCCCTCCCACCTACCCCACCCCTCCCACCTACCCCACCCCTCCCACCTACCCCACCCCTCCCACCTACCCCACCCCTCCCACCTACCCCACCCCTCCCACCTACCCCACCTAATCCCCCACCACCCCACCGAGGAGAGGGCAGTCGGTCGCGTCAGGGTGGGCAGTGGCGCGCCACGCGTCGCGCGTGAACGCAGGGGGCACCGCGGTGGCGAGGAGATGTTAACTGCCTCGCCTGGTGTACAGGAGGTCGTGGGTACGATCACTAACCTGACCGGTGCCTCTATATTTGGCAGGCCCCATGCTGAGAAGAGTTTTTTTTTTGGTTTAACACGTAGGCTTTCGCGACCAATATCAAAAAGTGGGTTAAAACCCAGAACCGCACCTCCGATTAGCGCGGTGGCGAGATGTTAACTACCTCGCCTGGTATACAGGGGGTTGTGGATTCGATCCCGACCCTGACGCCTGCTGCTGTATATTTGGAGTTTGAGGTGTCTCTTTCCCCGTGCTCGCTCGCCGATTTTCTCCGGGTCCTCCGGTTTTTACCTCCAAGTTTAGAATCAACGTCACGCGTTTAGACTATGTGGCTGCTATAAATATCCACATGATGAGCCACTTCATTGGGCTATCATTTGTAATAGCCAGGTCGCTTCTGACAAAAAAAAACCCGATATTGCTCAGTCGGCCTTACCTGGAATGTTTTTTTTTATTTTACAAAATTGTTCATCGTTTTTATGTCATTTTACTTTTATACGTCGGATTCTTACCGTGGGTTTTTCATGACAAACTCAACACGTCCGTCGATGGCACCGTGTGCGTGTGTTTTTGTGGCCTTGGAATGACACGTATACAACAGGCGACGTTTCGAGGCAATTTCCCACATCAGGGACCGATGGAAAAAAAAGTGCCCATTCTCTAAAAAGCCGCGGCGATATCGACGGACGCGTGGTGCGCGTCTTGTTCATCGTCTGCTGATTGTGCACCACTGCCGACGCAGCAGCAGCAGCAGCAGCGGCAGCATCACCACGTAATTGTGTAGGATTAGTACGGGCGTGCGCATTGTGTACCTTGTACCCCTCGTGGCAGCGCCTTACGAACCCACGACCTCCTGTATACCAGGCGAGGGAGTTAACATCTCGCCACCACCACCACCACCACGGTGGCGAGGCTGCTGCTGCCGCTGCTGCGTTGGAATTTGTGCGCAAGCCACAAACAACAGCAGCAGCAGCAGCAACACTCAGCGCGGTGATGGTGAAGCGTCCCCCGGCTAAACAGGTGGCACGGGAATCCCTGAACTAGAAACGGGGCGGTGCAGTCCTGGCCACAGTCCCCTGGCCACCTCACCGGTGAGTGGGCACAGCTGGCTGCGAGGGAGCGTGGCACCGCGCGCTGTTCCGTTTTTTGAGATTTTGAAAATTTCTCGGAATGGGTCGTCACCCCCCACGTCCACCAACCCACCCCCCCCCCAATTTTCTGAATGGGTCGTCTCCACCAACCACCCCCCCAATTTTCTGAATGAATCGTCCCCTCCACCAACACCCCCCGTTATATGCGGGGCCACGGTATATCCATGCTCAGGACAACACTGAAGCCCTTGGCCACTACGCGTGCTGCTGCCGCTGCTGCTGCCGCCGCCGCTGCTGCTGCCGTGTGGCGTTGCTTGCCGCGTGCATGGCGCTCTGTCCCCCGCGTGTCCGTGCGCGTGCCACCGCATCGCGCGGCCCTTTCGGGTAAAGGCAGGCGGCTCTTCCCTCGCCGACGCTAGGAAGACACTGGGGAGCCATCCACCTTTCGCGTCATCGCCTAGACTGACACACTCGTTTCTTTAGTAGCAGCTTGCTGTCATCGTCGTCGTCTTCGTCGTGTTCAGTTCGTTGTCCTCCCGGCGCCGCGCGCAACGTCACATTGGCACGGTTGGCTTCGGAACGGTTGCGAGAGAAGTTCAACGTCGCAAGGCGTCTCGCCAGCGTGGAAGAGTAGGCCGATATTCTCTCTGGAGAAGAGCTCTGTAGAGTTATCTCTCGTGGAGCGCCCCCCCCCCCCCCCACCACCTCCTTCTTGACGACAGCAGTGGCGTGGAGCGAGCAGTTGCAGGGCTGCGCCGTTCTTTGCCTTCACGCGACGCCATGGGATGATTGATGATTACAGGCGGCCAATGAGCTGCACGTCGCTCCAAGCTTCCCAAATGTCCTTCGTGGCGGAAGACGACTGCGATCTCACACTCAGGCGGTCAGGCCGCAGATAACCGGGCGTCAGGAGTAGCGGAGTAGCGTATCATCATCATCGTCGTCATCGTCGTTATCATCGTCATCGTCGTCATCATCGTCGTCGTCATCGTCATCATCATCATCATCGTCGTTGTCGTCGTCATCATCGTCGTCGTCATCGTCATCATCGTCGTCATCGTCGTCATCATCATCGTCGTTGTCGTCATCATCGTCGTCGTCATCGTCATCATCATCGTCATCATCATCGTCATCATTGCTGTGATGTCTCCTTCGTATTTGTGGACCGAGGCATTGCGTCATTGCACTTTGCGTGGTCTCTGTTCTGGGTGACCGCGGTCGCACCCACAGCTACTGGAGAGAGTTTTGCTTCGTGGATTCGTGAATCAGGAATCATCCAAATCTCCTGCCTTGGTTTGTGCAGTGGATGCCGTTTAGGGTGGGACCATGAGCAGCGCCGTGGAAGACGAACCCCCCCCCCCCCCCCCCCCCCCCCCCAGGGAATCTTCTGCGTTTTGGGTCTTTCACAGCGTGGCGGTGTTTGTCTGCGAGTTCTTTTGAACTCCATTCAGCTTCCCAGGCTTCATCGGAGGGCTAAGCTCGATCCGTTATGCCACGCGGACCCAGCTGAGTCATCGCTGCCTCCAAAGGCCACGCATCTGTGCTCGCACCCGGGGAGTAATTAAAGTCAACCCCCCAAATCACCCAGTGAAACGCGAGTCCATCCGCGAGTCCTTATCCTCCTATCGTCAATTGACGTGCGAATCATCTGCTGCTGGCATTGATGATGATGATGATGCTGCTGCTGCTGCTACAGCTGCAACTGCGTTAAAAAGTGCTGCACAAGCACTGTTATATTAAGGGCACACACACAAACACCCCTCCACACACTCGCCTCTAACACCGTGGCCTGAAAAAGGGAAACGTACGTGGACGGGCGACGTTTCGGGCGATGGCTCTTCGTCACAGCAACATAGAGAGATAGACATGTTTACTCTTTGGTTCTATTCGGTAAAGTCACGTCACGAAAGCTTCAAATCTAGAATAGATAGACATCTTGCCTATTCTGTTTAAGGGTAGTGGACATTTGCCAAAATGTGTTTCGTTATTGAGTTCATCGCTTTTGGCAGTAGTCCTAAACAAACATATCATCAACGCCCACGTGATGATAAGCCACCTCGCTGAGCTATCATTTGTGATGGCCAGGTCGCGTCTGAAAACGAGCTATACATCACAGTGGGCCATTACCTGGTAAAATAATAAATATATATATAATTTTATAGTTGATTCACTTATTTGCTGCGCGACCACTCGCGTTTGGGGATAGCAGTTTTCTGCAGGCGATCACAGTCGTCGGAACGATATCGGTATTTAGCGACTTGATTTGTGTGTGTGCCAGGATTTAAGGGGATGCTTGCTTGCATGCCCGTTGTGTGTATTCGTGTGTGTGTGCATATATTGTTTGTGTGTGTGCGGGGGGAGCGGTAGTGTAGCGCTACGAATCTGGCGATTGCGGGTTCGATTCCCGCTCACGGCCAGCACCCAGTGACGATTATCTGAACCGGTCCTGGGCCTCCGCTAGGTCGACTCGGCCTCAAATAAGTACCTGGTGCGACACGTAAACATCGCCACTAGGGAGACAAAGGCGGCCGGGCGTGGTGTTGGTCACCCACTCCCTCGTGTGCCGTGCCGGCCTTTATAGGTGCTCGCTAATAGCACGTCCCCCCTCCAGTATATTAGGACTATACGGGGGATCTTTGTCTTTGTGTGTGTATATATATTGTGTGTGCGTGTAGATCGGTGGCACATCGGATAATCCGCTGCGTTCCGAACCCAACAAAACCCGAGTCCCGTTCCTGCTCACGACCAATACCAGTGGCGTGCATTTGTACCGGTCCTGCTGGGTCTCCCCTAGGTCGACTCAGCCTCAAATGAGTACAGTGCCTGGTGCGATGTGTAAACATCGCCACTGGGGAGACAACGGGGGGCGGGCGGTCTGGTGTTAAGGCTGTGTCGAGTGCTGCTCATGCAGCTGGCATTGTGGTGAGAGACAAGGCTGGTATTGTTTCGTAAGCTTCGCCTGCTGTTGTCAAAACAGCTCAGCTCGCTTGTTTGTTTTGCTCTCTTGCATGCCGCTTATTCTAAACTAAACAATTTTTGTTTTTATTTTATTTTACCAGGTAAGCCACCCACCCACCCCACTGAGATACGTAGCTCTTTTTCAGAAGCGACCTGGTCGTCTCAAATGATCGCTCAACGAAGCGGCTTATCACGTGGACATTTACAGCAGACAGATATTCCAAACGCGTAACGCTGACTCGAAATGCAGAGGGGAAAACCCGGAGGACCCGGAGGAAAACCCAGGTCACCACGGGGGAGAGAGAGAGAGAGACACGCAAACTCAAAATATACAGCAGCAGGCGTCAGGGTCGGGATCGAACCCACGACCTCCTGTATACCAGGCGAGGGAGTTAACATCTCCTAGCCACCGTGAAGATGATGATGATGAGAGCAACACACAAACTGCAAATATACAGCAGGTGTCGGGGCCGGGATTGAACCCGTCGCCTGCTGCATACCAGGCGAGGTAGTTAACATCACCGGGCCACCGTGGCGACCCAAATTGACTAATTTTCAGCGTAAAATTTCGGCATTGGGATGGGGCTTTTTGCGGCCAATACCAATTACATTGGATGGGTTTTTGTTGTTGTTTTTTTTAATCTATGGGAGGATGCAATCGGAGAATCCGGAGGAAACCCACGCAGAACAAGGGGGACACACACAGAGAGAGCGCACAAACTCCACACACACACACAGAGAGAGAGAGAGAGGCACCCGCGTTGGGAATCGAACCCGTGGGGGAGGGAAGGCGCGATCGTTGTTGTCACCACCCTCGCTGCCCGCAAAATCGCCGCCGTATAAAGAACCGAGGGAACCCACGCAGCACGTGTCGCTGTGCGCGCAGGCGCGGCGGAGAAACCGCGGCCCTCGGTGCGCGTTCGCGACGTGGACTGCGATGACGGAGAGGGGCCACCGGGCCCCGCTGCCCGGACCGGCGCGGCCCTCAAGCTGCCCCCGCTGCCCTCTCCGCAGCCCAGCACGAGCCTGCCGTCGCAGACTCTCGCCGTGCCCACAGCCTCTTCCAGGTGGGTGCCCTCTCGTGTGCCGAACTCACAACGGGGCGACGATGAATCCTCAGTTATGTAATCAAGAGTGTCACTCATTAACTCGCTCACAAACCCACCCGCGTCATTCTCTCACTCAATCGCTCGTCCACTCACTCAACGGCCCATTCGCTCATTTTTCCACTCACTCATCCACTCACTCGTCCTCATCGCTTGTTTATCCCCTCGCTCACTCATCCACTCACTCAACCACCCATTCACTCACTCATCCTCGTCACGCATTTATCCACCCACTCACTCAACCACGCATTCGATAATTTATCCACTCACTCACTTAACCACCCATTCGCTCACTCATATATCCACTCACTCATGTACTCACTCAACCACCCATTCGCTCACTCATCCGCATCACTCATTCATCCACTCCCTCGCTCACCCATTCACTCACCCCGATCACTCATTCATCCACTCCCTCGCTCACCCATTCACTCACCCCCATCACTCATTCATACACTCCCTCGCTCACCCATTCACTCACCCCCATCACTCATTCATCCTCTAACTCACCACCGTGAGGCACTTCCGCTATCGTTCTCATGGAGCAGGGCAAGGCGCCATCTATGGGACCTTTCTTGCCAGTGCTGTCAAAATGATGATAACCAAGAGAATGTTCTTTACCCCTTCTGGCAGTAAAACACGAGTTGTGTTCAGATGTTCAAACACCAACTAGACGCATACTTCAAGGCATCAAATCTACACTAACCACACGTGCTTGTGGCAAAAACATGCAGACACACATGCTCATGATAATACAGTACATGCATTTGTCTTTGAAACTGATTGGCCTACAGCAGAGACAGCCTTCTTCATGGATTAGTCTCGCCACCAGTGTCAGACTCTGAGAACAACGCCAAAAGGCGAACAGCACAAAGACAATGCCACTATCAGAGCGCTTATAGCTCGGGGTTGAGCCGCAGCTGTATCATGGGAACTTTTTCCCACGATCAAAGTATGAAAAATAATACGTTTTACCCTTTCTGGCAGTAAAAGGCGAGTTGGTGTTAAGATGTTCAAACACCAACTAGAAGCATACTTCAAGGCATCAAGTACTGCACTAACCACACGTGCTCGTGGCAAAAACATGCAAACACACACATGCTCATTTTTGATTTAATGCTTTCGTGACTGCAGTGATTCATATTCTTGGTTCTTTCGGTAAAGTCACGTTGTCGTGAGAATTTTAGTGTTTCATATATATATTATTTTACTGGTAGGCACGAAGTTGTAAACTGAGTGTACCAGCCTGCAATAGATTAATGTGTCCGTCCGTCCCCTTTCAATACTTTAACGAAGTGAAATCTCGTGCTGTTGGGTGTAAAATCAGCAATAGACAGCGCAGAGACATGATAAGTCTTATAAAATTGCGCAAAATTCCAATGTTCCTACCAGCCCACCCTGCAGGGACCTGTTTTCCCTTCAACGTGACTTTACCGAAAGAACCAAGAATACACATGCTCATGGTAATACAATACGTGCATTGTCTCTGAAACTGATTGGCCTGCACCAGAGCTGCAAGCCTTCTTCATGGCCTCGTGAGTAGAGCGGAGAACACGAAACGCCTTCTGGGACGGCAGTCGCCCGAGCTCTTTAATTCACATCATCGAGCGGCGGTCTGCTCCGGTGATCGAGAAGGCGGCGCGACATTCGGCGGTTGTATTTCGATTTCGCTCTCGCAAATCAAAAGCGCGCCTCGTGTCGCCGTTCCCTTGTGCAGTATTGACCGGGTACCATCCTCCTTAAGGCCGTAATTAAAATATGTTGGTATAAAATAGATTTCTGTTTATATGATTGTGATTATGGTTGTTACTTTATAAATCCCTAATCTCTGCCATTACATACAAGGAAACAAGAAAAGGTAAAAAAATAAAAATAAAACAGAGCAATGTAATACAATACACTATTAGACATTATTGTAAAAAATAAATAGAAAGTCCATCCCATGTGTTAGTGATTTTTTATATTTTAGGCAGGAAATGGCAGTAAATTAGTTTTCAAATTTAGATTATTTTTTCTGGGGGGGGGACCCCCAGACCTGTAAGATTTGCCCCCCCCCCACAATGTTGACTCAATGGCTACGGCCTTGCTCCTCCTCCACCTCCTCCCGAGATGCTCGGTCGTACGGGGGCGTCGTGTCGACGGGGCGGTTGATTTAGAAGCCCCCACTACGATTTGCGTGGTTACCAAAACGCACCAGGCGACGTCGCTTAACGAGCCCACGGGGACATCTGTTAAACTAAATTCACGTCTTTTTTTTCATTGTATTCTTTTTTTTACACCAAACAAGACCCACTGACCAGTTATGCAGCTCTCTTTCAGAAGCGACCTGTGGCTTTTCATCACGTGGAAGTTCGAATGCGGCCAAACACTCGAAACGCGTCATGTGGATTTTAAATTTGGAGGGGTTGAAAAACCCGGAGGGGCCGGAGAAGAATCCACTCGACACACCCCGCCAACTCCAAATATATACAGCAGTCGCCAGGGGTTCGCGATCGAACCCACGACTCCTCATGCACAGCAGGCGAGGGAGTTAACATCTGCTAGCCACCACGGAGTCCAGCTGTTGCTTTTTGCGTTGAGGCTGTCGCCCTTGCCAGCACCTCCGATTAAGAACGGTTGGGTACGCACGGTGCGAAACAAGTTCAACATACACGCGTACACGATGCGGTGTGTAAACATCGACACTGGGGAAACCGATCGGCTGCCCCGTTATCCCCAGGATTCAGTGATGGGGGCAGTTATTCGCATGGAAGCCCCGTGAAATTATTATTATTATTATTATCCAGTGCATTAGACAGCAGCGCTCAGCAAAGACAGCGATCCCTATGAATGCCGGCACGGCACACGAGGGAGTGGGTGGCCAGGACCACGCCCGGCCGCCTTTGTTTGCCCATCGTCGATGTTTACACACCGCATCGTGTACGCGTGTATGTTGAACTTGTTTCGCACCCTATACGCAGCCAACCGTTCTTGATCGGAGGTGCTGGGAACGACGACAGCCTCAACGCACCAAGCGGTTCCAAAGAAATGAAGTTTCAATCTATCGAAATTAGTCTTCAATTAGGTGCTCATTTGAGGCTGAGTCGACCTAGGGGGGGGTTGCCCAGGACCACGTTCCAGACAATCGTTCACCGGGTGTTGGCCCATGAGCGGTGGGTCGATCGAACCCACGGGCTGGCCGGGCGTTCCGTGGCGTCAGCCTCGCCGAGTCGGCCGACGCCGCCTGCCCCCCACGGACGTGGAACTTTTGGACACCCGCACGCAGCCTGACGAACGGCTCCGTCGCATCGTGGAGGCTGTGGGGGAGGAAGTTGAGCGGGGGGCGGCGGGGGGGGGTCTCTGTGCGGGGCGCGTGGAATACCACCGGTCACGTGACGAATGTGGATCATCCACGAGAGTGATTCCTGCAGTCACGAAAGCTTCAAATCAAGTTTGAATACACGGGGTTTAAAATATATATTTAAGGAACGTAACAGATGGACTTCTCCACAGATGTGGCTGTCCGCCCGATGGAGCTGGTTGTAATTACTGGCGAAACGTCGGACTCGGAATGTAAATGTTGTGGCCTGGCTCTCCAACGCAGCGGTAGTTGCTGTGCTAGTGACGAATTGGCCACGTTCTGTTTCCGTTGCAAACCTTGCAAATTGACTGTGTCGGGTGGTGGCGGGTTTCACGACACAACATTTATAGTTTTACGCGATCTAACCCCCCCCCAAAAAAACACCTGTATTATGGATGATATTGGTCACGTGAGCCTCCTACGTGTTAGACCGAATGAATGTGGCTGCGACAGGTGGAGGAAGGAGCGGGGGTGAGAGTAGTGCGATCTGAGCCAAGCATCGAACTATACGAATCGTTATATTGTTCGCGAATGCCCTCGTGTGGTGAAGTATGGTCAACCCATGCCCACGTGTGGTGAAGTATGGTCAACCCATGCCCCCCCCCCCCCCCCCCCCCACCGCTACCCCACCCCCTTGCCCCATCGCGTCCTCAGTGACCAGATTGTCGGCAAAACAACATAACAAGAAGTGCCGTTTTGTGTTTACGTTGTTGTTGTTGTTGTTGCTGCTCTCGTCGAATTCGCTGAGACGAGACAAAAGAACAACCACTCGCTATTTCAAGGGCCTCGATGCAACCAGCGACTCCACTGAGGGCTGAGTCGACCCAGGGAGGATCCAGTGCCGGACGATCCTCGCAGCAAAAGTTGCCACAAATGCTGCGGGCCCGGCACTTTAAAAAGCCCATCAATTCCCGGTCCAGTGATTCTGCACTTTGCTCTATCACTGTAGTACTATACCGCCTTCGACTTTTGCGAACGACTGGGTGTTTACGGTTAGCGATTCGTCGTATTATCCGACTGTGTAGAAAATGAAAAAAAATACAATTACTTTACTACTGCAAGTTAAAAATGCGTGTTTTAATATTCGTGTTTTTTGTTTGTTAAATTAGGGTCGCTTTATAGCACATGCTACAGACCCCGCACTAGCTTCTGGTGAATATGAGACGGCGCTGGTCCCTTAATCAACGACGGCCACCACAGCCGCATCCTGCCGACCCCATTACCTCGTCCACAACCGACGCGGCTAGACCAAGCACCCCCCCCCCCCACACACCGTCCGGGTGACCTTTTAGATTACACGGTCACGTGCTGCGCCCCCCCCCCCCTTGCCCCCGTGTCGGAGCTAAACGCTGGGAGCTGAGCGGCTTAACGTGAGATGGGACCCGAGCTCTTAATCCGTCACGTGACGCGCTGACAGCCGGTCCCACTTGCCCGCCCGCAACAGCTGCGCTACTCTAAAACCAAAGACAAAATATCCACACCCCCCCGTGTAGCCTGTAACAGACTGTTGGGGCAAGTGCTGTTAGCGAGTAGCGCCTGCGATGGCCGGTACGGCACGGCACACGAGGGTGGTAGGTGGCCGGAACCACGCCCGGCCGCCTTTGTCTCCGCAGTGGCGATGTTAGCGACACATCGCACCGGGTACTCGTTTGAGGCTGAGTCGACCTCGGGGAGGCCCAGGAACGGTTCAGATCAATCGTCACCGGTGGTGTTGGTGGCCGTGAGCGGGAATCGTTCAGCCCGAATCCACACCCAGGATCTCAGCTATTGCCGGTACTCGATCAGCTGTCCAGCGCTCCCCTCTGTTGGATGCGCTTCCTGCCAGAAAGTGGCAGTGTCCTGGCTGGCTGCTGGCTCGGCTCATCCGCACCCCAACAATAACTCCTATCTCTGGGACCTCTTTGTCCAGTCTCAAAACTATGAAACAACAAGGGTAGTTTTTACACTTTACGTTTGTTTTGCCACAAGTGCTGTGCGTGTGGTGAATGCAGACTTGATGCCTTGCAAAATATATCTAATTTGGCTGTTTGAATATCGTATCACCTGTTTTATTAACAGAAATGCATAAAACATTATTATTAATAACTCGATTGTTAGTGGTTGCTGCGGACCGTTGCCACCGATACTATCTGGGTAACTGGTTACAAGGGATTTTCCGTGCAACAAATGAACATCGAATTGAATTGAAACAGCGAAGTTCGGATGACACAATCGATATAATATAATAATAGCTATGCGCGGTTCATTTTAAAATTGCTCCAACTTTTCAATGTTGTGCTCCTGGCGACGTAATTCGTCGTTCGCCAGAATATTATTTCGATCCTAGAGAATTAAGTACGTGACAACAACAACAACAACAAAAAACAGCAGCAGAAAATGTTCACAATGGACATTATCTTGCCATTGTATTGCTGCTTACCCAGAGTGCTCCGTGTGCAGGAGGATAGCGATGATTCCGTGAGCAGTGACGGCTGTCTCCGATGTTCCACCTGCAGAGCAGCAACGACTTATCTCCGAGTGAGAGGAACAACGACAGCGGAGTTGTTGTTGTTGCTGTTGTTGACAGAGCCGCCCTCCTACACGCGATACATGACTTGCCGTCATCTCCCATCGCTCCTCCGATTGGCACGGTTGGCTGCGCGCGGTGCGAAAGAAGTTCAACGTTACGTGCACGTGTGAAAGGGCAACTCCGCCACCCCGCTAATGTGGCAGCTGCCCCTGTGCGGCACACGTGGTGTCGAAGCACCAGGCCTGCAAGTGGACATATAGTCTGCCAGTAGTAGGCGGGCATTGCTGCTGCTGTGTGGTTTCACCTCGGGCACCCCCTGTGGCAGCTGCCCCTGTGCGGCACGCGAGGTGACTCGGCACCTGAGTGGCCTTCAGTGTGCTACAATTGGGTGTGATAATTGCTGTGTGTAATCCCTGCACGTGCGATGCCACAGAATCCCTGCACGTGCGATGCCACACAATCCCTGCACATGCAAATCACGCAATGACGCCGTTGGGTGTACATATTTTTGCAAGCGGTTTGTTCACCTTACCCATAATTTGATACCGTGTTTGTATTGCGTTGTTGTTGTAACGTTCTGACCCCGTGCTCATACTGAACTGCCCAACGGCGAAGCTCTTGCGACGAGCGGCGAGCGTGCGCACCCCCGCGATGTCCACTGTCTCTAACGGAGGGTCTCGTACCTACCCCTACCCCCCCCCCCCCCGGCCCCCCCCCCTCCCCTCCGGCGCCGTGCCAGACGCAAGTTCTCGAGTCCCACGAGCAGTGTGGACGATGCGTCGCAGCAGGCGGGGGATGAGCAGGTGGACCCTCAGGGCTGCACCTTCCGAAGGTGACACCACCACCACCACCACCCTCTCCTTATCCGTCGCGGGAATTCCGGTCGTCTCGTGTCAACCCGTGTCCCCCGTGTCTCGTGTCCCCGCGTTCCCACGTCCCGCGTCGCATGTCACGGTGTCTCCACATTTCGCGTCCCGTGTCTCGTGCCCCGCATTCCTTGTCCCCGCGTCCCCGTGTCTCCGTGTCCCCGTGTCCACCCGCGTGTCCACCCGCGTGTCCACCCGCGTGTCCACCCGCGCCGCAGCCTGTCGCGCGCCGACTCGCTGTCGAGCCAGTGCAGCGTGTCGGTGACGGAGCGGCTGCACGAGCTCTCGCGACAGTTCCGCACGCGCACCGAGCAGGTCAAGGAGAAGATCATCGACCCCGACGAGTCGCTCTCCGACGACAGCCCCCCGCCCTGTGAGTCGCACCACCGCCCCCCCCCCTCCCCACCTTACCATCTGAGTTGCCCCCACCCCCGTGAATCACCCCTACACCCCCCCCCCCCCCCCCGTGACGAGGTCGTTAACACCTCGCCACCGTGTAACCCACGAAAGTTACTGCAATATAACAAAACAACTGCTTCAAAACATAACGTCTCAATGCCACGTGGGGCGGCGTAGGCCACCACCTCCTCCGCACGTGGTCAGCGTAGTGTGACGTCACAGGGCAGTAACCAACCTCACTTCCTGCCCCGCCCCCATCCACAGCACCGGTCAAGGCCGCCCCTGCGCCAACCCCTGCGGAGGAGGGCCCCAAGGGAGAGGCGGAGGTGGCGGCCGGGCTGGCTGAGGCGGAGGAGCGCTGCAGCATGCTCTGCTGCAGCCTCAAGCGGAGGCCCTGGATGCGCCGCTTGCACATTCCCAAGAGCATCGACCCCTACACAGGTGACGGAGGCAAGAGGTCACCCGTGTAGCCTTGACCAGGCGGTGGGGGGCAGGTGCCGCTCGCCGAATCGCACCTGCGGGTGTGGGCCGGCGCCACCGCACCGTGGGGGGTGGGTTGGCCGCCACAACTCTCGACCGCCTTTGTCTCCCCACTGGCGATGTTTACGCACCGCAACAGGCACTCGTGTTTAAGGCTGAGTCGACCTAGGGGGAGGCCCCATGGACCGGTTCAAATATTGGCCACCACTGGGATTGGTCGTGAGCAGGAGTCGCGGTGTTCGTAGCGCACTGTGCTAACCACTCCTCCAACGCTCCCCCACGAAGACAAAGACAAAGATCCCCCATATAGCCTTAACAGACTGTAGGGGCAAGTGCTGTTAGCGAGCACCTATGAAGGCCGGAACGGTACACGAGGGGGTGTGGTGGCCAGCACCACGCCCGACCGCCTTTGTCTCCCTAGTGGCAATGTTTACACACCGCACCAGGTACTCATTTGAGGCCGAGTCGACCTAGGGGAGGCCCGGGACCGGTTCAGATAATCGTCACTGGTGTTGGCCGTGAGCGGGAATCGAACCCGGGTCGCCAGGTTCATAGCGCGAAGACACACACAAATGCACAGACTATGATTCTATTGCGTCTCTACGTGAGTCTACAGGTTTCTCTTTGAGTCGATGGGTATCTGAATAAGCGCACCGCAAATGACTAAATAACTCAAATCCCACCTCTTGGGTGTCGCTCTCTATTTTATGTGCGGCTGTTTGTATCAATTACTAATCTACACTTTGTCTTCCGAACGTCTTCTGCTGTTTCAAAGCATAATTTTTGGCGCGGAAAGTTCCGTGCTTGGCCAGTTACCCAGCGAGTTTCGTTGGCAACGGCCTGCAGCTCATCCACAGCTTTTGAACCCTCACCCTTTGACTCCCCCTCTGTGGTGTCCCCATTAGACCAAAAACATTAATCTTACTTGCACCTAACCTCTTTGGTGTTATGTACGCGGAACTTCTATCGCACCATACGTAGCCAACCGCGTTAATCGGTGGTGTGACCATGCTGACATTCGACCAAAATTTGAATCTTACTTGTACCTAACCTCATTCTAGCACTCATTAGGCTCAGATTACGCCGTGCAATATTGCTCGAGGACGCTGCGGCGCTCGTTCTCTGCAGCGTCGGTGGCTTTCCCCGTTCGTTTGACATCGCCGCTGTGCTAGCGCACCTCCGAATTGGCACGCCTGGCTACGTACGGTGCGAAAGAAGTTCAACAGACGTACCGTACGTACGCAGCACCCCCCCCCCCCCCCCGTGTTTAAAGGGGGGGGGGGGGTCATCGTCCGTGTAACAAAATGAAAAGACATCGAGTTGTGGTTGGGAGGGGGGGAAAAGGAGCCCAGTCAGTCGCCATCCAGGACACTTTCGAGGCATAGGTTGTTTGTAATCGCAGCATGATTATTGATTGTTTCGTTACTATTTGATTATTATTGGAGTCCTGTTTATTTATCTTGTTTTATTTATTTTGTCTATTTATTTGCATTTATTCCCATCTATGTTATTTATTATTTGGCTACTCTTTTTATGTTTTCCCTAATATCCATTATACAGCTTTTTTGGGGGGTTAGATTGTGTAAAATGTGTCGTTAAACCCGCCACCACCCGACACAGCCAACTAGTAAGGGTTGTCACGTAAACATAACGTGGCCAATTCGTCACTAGTACAGCAGTAGTGTATAGTGTAGTGTATAGTAGTGTAGTGTATAGTGTAGTATACTAGTACAGCACTAGTGTGTTGTGTAGTGTATAGTGTAGTGTATAGTGTAGTATACTAGTACAGCACTAGTGTGTAGTGTAGTGTATAGTGTAGTATACTAGTACAGCACTAGTGTATAGTGTAGTGTATAGTGTAGTATACTAGTACAGCACTAGTCTGTAGTGTATAGTGTAGTGTATAGTGTAGTATACTAGTACATCACTAGTGTGTAGTGTATAGTGTAGTATACTAGTACAGCACTAGTGTGTAGTGTATAGTGTAGTGTATAGTGAAGTGTACTAGTACAGCACTAGTGTGTAGTGTATAGTGTAGTGTATAGTGTAGTGTATAGTAGTGTATAGTGTAGTGTATAGTGTAGTATACTAGTACAGCACTAGTGTGTAGTGTATAGTGTAGTGTTTAGTGTAGTGTATAGTAGTGTATAGTGTAGTATACTAGTACAGCAACACCGGTGGGTTTGAGAGCAAAGCCACAACATTTACAATCTGAGTACGACGTTTCACCAGTAATTACAACCAGCTACATCAGACGGACTGCCAGGTTTGGTTGTTTATTTATTTAATCATAATGAAGGTTTTTGGGTTAGATCGCGTAAGTGTAAATGTTGTAACTTGATTAGGTGCTTTCGTGACTGCAGGACTTACTCTTTGTTTTTTTCGGTAAAGTCACGTTGAAATAATACAAAATAAAATTATATAATAGCATACGACGTTTCGATTACAACACAAGCAATCATCATCAGGTACAGATTAAATTTAGCTCTTCTGTACCTGATGATGATTGTTTGTGTTGCAATCGAAACGTCGTATGCTATTATAGAAATTTATTTTTTATTATTTCTACGTGACTTTACCGAAAAAAACAAAGTTTAAATGTTGTGTCGTAATCCTCCACCACCCCACACAGCCAATTAGTAAGGATTTGTCACGTAAACAAAACGCCAATTAGTTACTAGTATAGTGTATAATAGTGTGTAGTGTATAGTAGTGTAGTGTATAGTGTAGTGTATAGTAGTGTAGTGTATAGTAGTATAGTGTATTGTAGTGTATTGTAGTGTATTGTGTCGTGTATAGTAGTGTAGTGTATAGTGGTGTAGTGTACAGTAGTGTAGTGTATAGTAGTTTAGTGTATAGTGTAGTGTATAGTGTATTGTAGTGTATAGTTTTGTGTATAGTGTAGTATGCTGCTTCAACCCACCTGTGCTTTTATTTTATTGGTTTATTATTGTTATTGTTGATTATTATTGACCTGAACACTGGATTCGAAGCTTTCATGACTGCAGGAATTACTCTTTGGTTATTTCGGTAAAGTCACGTAGAAATAAGAAAAAATAATAAAAATAATAATAGAATACCACGTTTCCATTGCAACACTAAGCAACCATCATCACGTGCAAATGCATGAGAAAAGCAAACCTAGTAAACTTGGAAATGGAATGCAATACAACACAGAGAAAAAACTCGATTTGGTCCTTTCGTGACTGCAGGAATTAATCTTTGTTTTTTTTCGGTAAAGTCACGTAGAAATAAGAAAAAATAAAATTACGTAATATACGACGTTTCGATTGCAACACAAGCAATCATCATCAGGTAGAGGAAACACATAACCGCAGATATATATACAGACCTTGGTGTATCTGTGTCAATTCCCTCTACTTAAGGTCTGTATATATATCTCTGCGGTTATGTGTTTCCTCTACCTGATGATGATTGCTTGTGTTGAAATCGCAACGTCGTATATTATGTAATTTAATTTTTTCTTATTTCTACGTGACTTTACCGAAAGAAAAAAAACAAAGATTAACAACACAGAGAGTCGGCCAACACAACAGTCAACAACCCCACCTGGTTTTTACAATTCTTCCAAAGAATGCTGCATTGCATCACATTATATTTCCAAGTTGACGACTTTGTTTTCTCATTGATTTGCACCTGATGATGGTTGCTTGTGTTGCAATCGAAACGTCCTATTCTATTATTATTTCGTTGAATTCCTTTCCACGCGACTTTACCGAAAGCACCAAGGACGATTTAGTGACCTGTTGCCGTGCGCGGGCCCCACGTAGACCACTTCTACGTGCTCTGGCTGCTCGTGGTGGCGCTGGCGTTCCACTGGAACTGCTGGCTCATCCCCGTGCGCTGCACGTTCCCCTACGTGACGGCCGACAACCTCGCCACGTGGCTAGTCACCGACTACGCCTGCGACGTCATCTACATCGTCGACATGGCCTTCTTCCAGACGCGCCTGCAGTTCATCAGCAAAGGCGACATCATCGTGAGTCGGAGTGGGGGAGGGAGGGGGTTGGGGCAGGGTCGTGGGATGACTCTCCCCTTGAGAGGGAGAGACGGGGGGCGACTCTCTCCCTTGTGCGTGAGAGACGAGGCGACTCTCCCCTTGTGTGTGAGAGACGAGGCGACTCTCCCCTTGTGTGTGAGAGACGAGGCGACTCTCCCCTTGTGCGTGAGAGACGGGGCGACTCTCCCCTTGTGCGTGAGAGACGGGGCGACTCGCCCCTTGTGCGTGAGAGACGGGGCGACTCTCCCCTTGTGCGTGAGAGACGGGGCGACTCTCTTCCCTTGTGCGTGAGAGACGGGGCGACTCTCCCCTTGAGAGGGAGAGACGGGACGACTCTCTCCCCTTGTGCGTGAGAGACGGGGGGCGACTCTCCCCTTGTGCGTGAGAGACGGGGCGACTCTCCCCTTGAGAGGGAGAGACGGGGCGACTCTCCCCTTGTGCGTGAGAGACGAGGCGACTCTCCCCTTGTGTGTGAGAGACGAGGCGACTCTCCCCTTGTGTGTGAGAGACGAGGCGACTCTCCCCTTGTGCGTGAGAGACGGGGCGACTCTCCCCTTGTGCGTGAGAGACGGGGCGACTCTCTTCCCTTGTGCGTGAGAGACGGGGCGACTCTCCCCTTGAGAGGGAGAGACGGGGCGACTCTCTCCCCTTGTGCGTGAGAGACGGGGGGCGACTCTCCCCTTGTGCGTGAGAGACGGGGGACTCTCCCCTTGTGCGTGAGAGACGGGGAACGACTCTCCCCTTGTGCGTGAGAGGGAGAGACGGGGGCCCTGACGTCACAGCTTCACGTGGTGTCATTCGTCGTCGCCGTTATTTGCCTTTCAGACCGACCCGAAAGAGATGAGAAATAACTACGTGAAGTCTCAGAGGTTCAAGGTAACCAACCCCAAGCTAGTTCTTCCCGACCCCCTCCCCCCCCCAACTGCTGAGACTCCCCGTGGAACCCCCACCAAATTCCTCCCCTTGCCCCTGCCGCTGCCGTGGGCAACGTGCCCACGTGGTGTTGCCCCCGGCACCCCAGCGCCCGTGTCCTCGCGCCGCGATTCTCTCGTCTCTCAACGACTCTGTTCTCCATCCCGTCCGCTCCGCTCCCATTCTCCGCCGTCCCCGCTGCGCCCCAAGAGTCTCGCTCGCTCGCTCGCTCTCACGCGCGCATCGCTCCTTCTCCCTTGGCGCTCCCATTCACTAGAGCCAACTCCCGCTGCAGAGCACAGAGCGATCGTCTTCCCGTTCCTCCCTGAAGACAACACCCTCCCCCCCACCCCTCTTCTCCCCTACATCATCATCATGATCATACTGCTGCTGCTGATGCTGCTCCCTGCCACTCAGCTACAACCAGGCCTTGCCCAACCCCTATCACTACCCCAACCCCTATCACTACCCCAACCCCTATCACTACCCCAACCCCTATCACTACCCCAAGCCCTATCACTACCCCTATCACTAGCCCTATCACTACCTCTACCCCTATCACTACCCCTATCACTACCCCTACCCCTATCACTACCCCAACCCCTATCACTGCCCCAACCCCTATCACTACCCCTATCACTACCCCAAACCCCTATCACTACCCCAACCCCTATTGCTACCCCAATCTCCATCACTACCCCAACCCCTATCACTACCCCAACCCCTATCACTACCCCTATCACTACCCCAACCCCTATCACTACCCTAACCCCTATCAATACCCCAACCCCTATCAACACCCCAACCCCTATCAATACCCTGACCCCTATCACTACCCCAACCCCTATCACTACCCCAACCCCTATCACTACCCCAACCCCTATCACTACCCCAACCCCTATCACTACCCCAACCCCTATCACTACCCCAACCCCTATCAATACCCCAACCCCTATCACTACCCTAACCCCTATCACTACCCCAACCCCTATCACTACCCCAACCCCTATCACTAATCCAACCCCTATCACTACCCCAACCCCTATCACTAATCCAACCCCTATCACTACCCCAAACCCCTATCACTACCCCAAACCCCTATCACTACCCCTATCACTACCCCAACCCCTATCACTACCCTAACCCCTATCACTACCCCAACCCCTATCACTACCCCAACCCCTATCACTACCCCAACCCCTATCACTACCCCAGCCCCTATCACTACCCTAACCCCTATCACTACCCCAACCCCTATCACTATCCCAACCCCTATCACTACCCCAACCCCTATCACTACCCCAACCCCTATCACTAATCCAACCCCTATCACTACCCCAAACCCTATCACTACCTCAAACCCCTATCACTACCCCTATCACTACCCCAACCCCTATCACTACCCCAACCCCTATCACTAATCCAACCCCTATCACTACCCCAAACCCTTATCACTACCCCAAACCCCTATCACTACCCCTATCACTACCCCAACCCCTATCACTACCCTAACCCCTATCACTACCCCAACCCCTATCACTACCCCAACCCCTATCACTACCCCAACCCCTATCACTACCCCAGCCCCTATCATTACCCTAACCCCTATCACTACCCCAACCCCTATCACTATTCCAACCCTTATCACTACCCCTATCACTACCCCAACCCCTATCACTACCCCAACCCCTATCACTACCCCAACCCCTATCACTACCCCAACCCCTATCACTACCCCAACCCCTATCACTACCCCAACCCCTATCACTACCCCAACCCCTATCACTACCCCAACCCCTATCACTACCCCAACCCCTATCACTACCCCAACCCCTATCACTACCCCAACCCCTATCACTACCCCAACCCTTATCACTACCCAAACCCCTATCACGACCCCAACCCCTATCACTACCCCAACCCTTATCACTAATCCAACCCCTATCACTACCCCAACCCCTATCACTACCCCAGCCCCTATCACTACCCTAACCCCTATCACTACCCCAACCCCTATCACTATCCCAACCCCTATCACTACCCCAACCCCTATCACTACCCCAACCCCTATCACTAATCCAACCCCTATCACTACCCCAAACCCTATCACTACCTCAAACCCCTATCACTACCCCTATCACTACCCCAACCCCTATCACTACCCCAACCCCTATCACTAATCCAACCCCTATCACTACCCCAAACCCTTATCACTACCCCAAACCCCTATCACTACCCCTATCACTACCCCAACCCCTATCACTACCCTAACCCCTATCACTACCCCAACCCCTATCACTACCCCAACCCCTATCACTACCCCAACCCCTATCACTACCCCAGCCCCTATCATTACCCTAACCCCTATCACTACCCCAACCCCTATCACTATTCCAACCCTTATCACTACCCCTATCACTACCCCAACCCCTATCACTACCCCAACCCCTATCACTACCCCAACCCCTATCACTACCCCAACCCCTATCACTACCCCAACCCCTATCACTACCCCAACCCCTATCACTACCCCAACCCCTATCACTACCCCAACCCCTATCACTACCCCAACCCCTATCACTACCCCAACCCCTATCACTACCCCAACCCCTATCACTACCCCAACCCTTATCACTACCCAAACCCCTATCACGACCCCAACCCCTATCACTACCCCAACCCTTATCACTACCCAAACCCCTATCACGACCCCAACCCCTATCACTACCCCAACCCTTATCACTAATCCAACCCCACCTTAACCACTCCCACCTGCCCTCCCAACTGTCACCATAATTACACCACCAACTTTTAATAGCAACACCCCCCACTCTTTATCAGTCAAAACCACTGTCATCTTTGCGTACAATTTTTTAATTCGCTGCCAAGCGCCCTGGAGTGCGTCGCCACTGTATAAATATCGACGAGACGAGACAAAACACGAGAAGACCTCCCGAGGCATGGAACACACACGCACACACACACACGCACACACGCGCGCACACACACACGTACACACACGCACACACACGCACGCACAAATGCACCTAAATGTGGAGTGGAAAACCCAGAGGACCAGGAGCCAAACGCCACGTGACCACGGAGAGAGAGAGACGCGCAAATTCCAGGAATACAGCAGGTGTCAGGGTCGAAAATGAACCGACGACCTCCTGTATACCGGGCGAGGTAGTTAACATCTCATAGCCACTGTGATGGTGATGAGAGAGACGCGCAAATTCCAGGAATACAGCAGGCGTCAGGGTCGTGAATGAACCGAAGGCGTCCAGTATAGCAGGCGAGGTAGATAATATCTCATAGCCACTGTGATGGTGATGAGAGAGACGCGCAAATTACAAGAATACAGCAGGCGTCAGGGTCAGGAATGAACCCACGACCTCCTATACACCAGGCGAGGTAGTTAACATCTCATAGCCACTGTGATGGTGATGAGAGAGACGCGCAAATTCCAGGAACACAGCAGGCGTCGGGGTCGGGAATGAACCGACGATCTCCTGTATACCAGGCGAGGTAGTTAACATCTCCAAGCCACTGTGATGGTGATGAGAGAAACGCGCAAATTCCAGGAACACAGCAGGCGTCAGGGTCGGGAATGAACCGACGACCTCCTGTATAACAGGCGAGGTAGTTAACATCTCATAGCCACTGTGATGTTGATGAGAGAGACGCGCGAATTCCAGGAACACAGCAGGCACCGGGGTCGGTAATGAACCCACGACCTACTGTATAGCAGGCGAGGTAGTTAACATCTCAGCCACTGTGATGGTGATGAGAGAGACGCGCGAATTCCAGGAATACAGCAGGCGTCAGGGTCGGGAATGAATGGACGATCTCCTGTATAGCAGGCGAGGTAGTTAACATCTCATAGCCACTGTGATGGTGTTGAGAGAGACGCTCAAATTCCAGGAATACAGCAGGCGTCGGGGTCGGGAATGAACCCAAGACCTCCTGTATAGCAGGCGAGGTAGTTAACATCTCAGCCACTGTGATGGTGATGAGAGAGACGCGCGAATTCCAGGAATACAGCAGGCGTCAGGGTCGGGAATGAACGGACGATCTCCTGTATAGCAGGCGAGGTAGTTAACATCTCATAGCCACTGTGATGGTGATGAGAGAGACGCGCAAATTCCAGGAATACAGCAGGCGTCAGGGTCGTGAATGAACCGAAGGCGTCCTGTATAGCAGGCGAGGTAGATAATATCTCATAGCCACTGTGATGGTGATGAGAGAGACGCGCAAATTCCAGGAATACAGCAGGCGTCAGGGTCGGGAATGAACCGACGACCTCCTGTATAGCAGGCGAGGTAGTTAACATCTCATAGCCACTGTGATGGTGATGAGAGAGACGCGCGAATTCCAGGAATACAGCAGGCGTCAGGGTCGGGAATGAACCCAAGACCTCCTGTATACCGGGCGAGGTAGTTAACATCTCCAAGCCACCGTGCAGCGTACGACTTCGCCAGGTCGGAAGTTGACTACGGCTGCGCATTTCGTCATGGACTGGACTCGCTCATAAGAGCGCTCAATAACGAATGTTCTCACTCACTCATAGTATATATGTTTTGGGGTTAGATTGCGTGTAAATATATTAATGTGTCGTTAAAACCCTCCACCAACCGACACAGCCACTTCGTAAGGGTTGTGTCACGTAAACAAAACTATGCCAATTCGTGTTTGAGAGTTAAGGGGCCGTCCGTAAATGACGTCACGCACCTGGGGGGGGGGGGGGTCAGACATTTGTGACGATGTGTGACGAGAGGGGGGGGGGGGGGTTGAGAAATGTGACGTCACATCAAAATGCGCCACTTTAAATTAATATAGACAACACGTTCTACTTAATTAAATAGACTTTTAACAAATGTTTTCTCCTACAACGTCAGAGTGCAGCGCCACATTAAACACGCACTACAAGGACAATAGTTTAAAGCGATTTGAAGCATGTTTTATATATTTTTTGTGGGGGGGCAGAGCTTTGTGACGTCATCTTTGAGGAGGGGGGTCTGACTTTTTGTGACGTCGCGTGACGAAGGGGGGCGGGCGGGGGGGGTCAAAAATCGCATGACGTCATTTATGGACCGCCCCTATACCCTCACGACATTTGCAATTCGAGTACCGCGTATCGCCAGTGATTACAATCGGCAACTCTGGCTGTCGACCTGATGATGCCAATTTTGTAACTACTAGCGAAATGTCACGGTCCACGTATTCATATTCTTGGTTCTTTCGGTAAAGTGACGTTGAAGGGAAATGCTGTAGCGGCTTTACGCTCGAACACACCCGGTGTGCTGTACTCGTAACGAAATTGGCTCTCGTTTACGCGACAAAACCTTTTCCAATTGGTTGCGCCGGGTGGTGCCGGCGGGTTTAACGACACGTTCATATGATGGATAACATCGGTCGCGAAAGCCCTACTATCTACTACGTGTTCAAATTACTTACTCTTTGCCGTCACTGTCTCCCGCTCCCCCACCCCCACCACCCCTCTTGCAGATGGACATGCTATCGCTCCTGCCACTGGACCTGCTGTACTTGCGCTTCGGCTTCAACCCGCTCTTCCGTCTGCCGCGCTGCTTGAGGGTCAGAATCATCCTGCACGGCCCGGGCCCCTTTAATTGGCGGCGGCGGCGGCGGCGGCGGTCGTGGCGACGCTAGAATCAGAATCGTTATTTATCCCGGAGAAATGCCGATGAGGAGGCCGTGAAGCCCCTTGTTTTTCCGCGGATGTCCAGCCGCGTCCAGTACGCTGCACGTGGCGAGATGTTAGCTACCTCGCCTGGTATACAGGAGGACGTGGGTTCGATCCCGGCTCTGACGCCTGCTGTATGTTTGGAGTTTGCGCGTCTCTCTCTCTCTCTCCCTGTGGTCGCGTGGATTTTTCTCGATGTCCTCCGGTGTTTTCCCTCCACATTTAGGATCAACGTCACCACGCGTTTTAGAGTTATTTGGCCGCCATGAATTTCCACGCAATGACGATGAGGCCAACTTCCGTGGCCAGGTCGCTTCTGAAAAAGAGCCACGTAGCTCAGTGGGGCCTTAACCTGGCGAAGTAAAAATTAGTTTATAGTTTAGTGGAGTCATTTGCGGTGTGTATTTTTTGGCATTTGGGGATTCCGAGTCTCGGTACTGGCTAAACGTCACGCTTCTTTTTACCGATTGGAGGATGCTGGAGAACCCCCGGAGGGAAACCCACGCAGAACGGCGCCGGGGGAGAGACAGAGAGAGATCGATAGAAAGCACACAAACTCCGGAGAGTAAGGCATCCGAGTCGGGAATCGAACACAGGCCACTACTTGCTGCGAGTGTCACCCACACCGTGTCTACCCACACGGTTTACCCCGTTATTCTTGTACAGGGAAATTGAGTTTTCAGGGCCATGCGGCGTACAGCTGTTTGAATACGGCCACAAAAAATAAACCATGTCTATTTGTTTGTGTTTCCCCCTTGCGATGGGACTTTGTAGGACGAACGTTGAGATTTATAAGGGGCACGGGGTGACCAATACGGTCTGAATTGGTCTCTAATAAGGTAGGGCACTGATAAGTGGTTGACAGCTGTGGTCACCCACTGTGTCACTGCCACCGCGCTACTGCCAAAGAAAATGATAGAAATTATTTGCGCGTTGGAAGTGTGAACATACCATCCCTGCCGCGTATGTAATTGCGTCTGTGTGTGTGCCTGTGTGTCTGTGTGTGTGGGGGGAGAGTGGTAGTGTAGCGATCAGCTACTCTGCGCTACGAACCCGGCAGAGACCTGAATTCGATTCCCACTCACGGCCAACACCGGTGACTATTATCTGAACCGGTCATGGGCCTCCCCTAGGTCGACTCAGCCTCAAATGACTTCCTGGTGCGGTGTGTAAACATCGCCACTGGGGAGACAAAGGCGGCCTGGCGTGGTTTTGGCCACCCACCCCCTCGTGTGCCGTGCCGGCCATCATAGGCGCCACTCGCCGACAGCACTTGCCCTAAGAGTCTGTTCAGGCTTCACGTGGGATCTTTGTCTTTGTTTGATTGCAGTACAAGGCGTTCTTTGAGTTCAACGACAGACTGGAAGCCATCCTCACGAAAGCGTTCATCTACCGGTGAGACACGGGCCCCTTTCGGCATTATCATTCGAAGCCGAAATCAACTCGTAGCGCCCCTCTGCCACCACCAGCAGCAGCAGCAGCAGCCACGCGGTGGCGAGGAGCCGGCGCTACCGACGATTGGCCAAGCTCTGCGGTCCTCCGTATATCAAGATGCTTTCAGCCGACCCACGAGTTTTTTACGCGTGCGGGGTGGAAACTGAAGCGCCCACAGAGGGGGGGGGGGACCTACGAGTGCGAGCGAGGGGGAAACACTCTATTCCCCCATGTAGGTGGAACAGGTGGAGTCCACATTTATCGCTGCGACATCCGTGTGCTGATGCCTCCACGGTTGCTCGATCGCAGGCAGCCACGCGCAGCAGCGTAGCCACCGCCGCCCCGGCTAAATCAGGAGCGTTCCTTTTCACTTGGAATCTCCCATTACTGGCTACAGTGCTCGTGACGCCGGCACCCACATTTCGAATGATCCCCACGCGATTCTTCTTTAACGTCCACTGAGAGGCTGACGGCCAACGCGCAGACACACGCGCGCGCACGCACGCACGCAACGCGGCATTATCCAGGGCAGACCGCCGGATTGGAACCGTGAACCCCTGCTCGCTGGGACGTGGTGCAGGTTGGTCTAGAACCGCAGTGTCCCACTCGGCGTGCAGATGACAGAGAGGGCCGCTTCCTCTGTTGCTTCTGTCGCTGTTGTTGCTGCTGTTGTTGTTGCTGCTGTTGCTGCTGCTGCTGTTGTTGCTGCTGTTGCTGTGGCTGTTATTGCTGTTGTTGCTGCTGGTGCTGCTATTGCTATTGTTGCTGTTGTTATTGCTGTTGCTGCTGCTGTTGTTGCTGTTGTTGCTGTTGTTATTTCTGTTGCTGTTGTTGCTGCTTTCCCTGCTATTGCTGCTGCTTCTGCTGCTGTGGCCTTCACAGAGTGATCCGCACCACCGGCTATCTGCTCTACAGCCTCCACCTCAACGCGTGCCTCTACTACTGGGCCTCCGACTACGAGGGAATCGGCTCGACCAAGTGGGTCTACAACGGCCTCGGCAACCAGTGAGGCCTCCACCACAGAGACAGATGCCCCCCCCCCACCCCCCGGTGTAACCTCCCCACACTTTGCTGCTCGCGAAGCGACACCTATGATGGCCCGCCGCGGAATTCGCGCCAGGGGTTGGAGGGGCCTGCACCGCGCCCGCCGGCAGGGGGCGGAGCCAGGATTTCAGGCTGCGGTGACATTCAACAAATGTTAATTTCAAGAATGATTTAGAGAGTCGTCAGGCTGTTGAACTAGTAGTAGACGCCATCGGTTGGCGGACACACTCTGACAATGCAGTTGCACGCAGTCCGCCAGACCGAGTGTCGTACACTTACACGCAGAATGTCACCCCTGTCACCCCCCCCCCTGGCTCCGCCCCTGGGCACGGACAACATTTTGAAACACAACGAGTAGTTCTAAATTTCGATTTAAAGCTTTCGTGACTGCAGGGATTCATCTTCTTGGTTCTTTCGGTAAAGTCACGTGTTCTACGTGACTTTACCGAAAGAACCAAGAGGGCATTCCCTCCGTGGCACGGCGTCCCCCGTTTCCCCCGCGGTTGTGCGGACGGGGCGAGCCCCTCGCCCGTCCGGCCCAGTCGCGCGCTCTCTCGCTCTCTCTCTCTCGCTCTCTCTCTCTCGCTCTCTCTCTCTCGCTCTCTCTCTCTCGCTCTCTCTCGCTCTCTCGCTCTCTCTCTCTCGCTCTCTCTCTCTCGCTCTCTCTCGCTCCCCCTTTAACCCCCCGCCCCCGGCGGGCTCGTATCGTCCCCCCGCAGTTACATCCGCTGCTACTTCTGGGCCATCAAGACGCTGATCACGATCGGCGGTCTGCCCGACCCGGAGAACCTCTTTGAAATCGTCTTCCAGGGGTGCAACTACTTCACGGGCGTGTTCGCCTTCTCCGTGCTCATCGGCCAGGTAAGCCGTCGCCGTTGCCGCCGCGAATTGCGCTCGGTCGACCGGGCGGGGGGAGGGGGGGAGGGGTCCCCGCCGTGGCGGGATGTCGACGAGCCGCCTGGCAGACGACCCTCGCCCGCCCGCCCGCCCGCTCGCCCTGTGACGGTGTGCGTACGTTGGACTTGTTCGGCACCACCGCACGTTGGACTTTGTCGGCTAATCGGAGGTGGCGGCGGGAAGGACAACAAACCCGGCGCGAAAAGCAGTCCGAAAGAAATGAGTCTTGTCAATGCAGATGATGATTTCAAAGTGCCATAGCTCCCAGTCGCTTTCCAATATTGGATGGAGGAGCGTTCCAGACGGCCACAGAAGCGCATATGACAAGCATGAACACGAATCGAGAACAGCATGAGACGAAAATGTTACTTAAAGTCTCTCCGTGCTAGAGAGCACATGTATGTATGTCTAGGCACGTGGGTTGTTTGACCATACTTCGCCACGCATGTATGCTGAACTTTTCGCACTGTACGTAGCCAACCACGCTAATCGTAGGTGGCGACGGGAAGGACGACGAACTACACGCCAGAAGCAGTTCGAAATAAACGAGTTTGTCCAATGCAGATGACGATTTAAAAGTGCACAACTCCAGGGGCTTCCTAATATCAGAAGGAGGAGCGTTCCAGACGGCCGCAGAAGTGCGTCTGAAAGCGCCGCGCGATGGGTTTACGCCCCTCGGTGGGGGTCGGCCCAGGGGCGTGGTTCAGGGGCTGATGCCGGTTTGGACGGCGTCGTCCGCGCGGCACAGATGCGCGACGTGATCGGAGCGGCCACGGCGTCGAAGACGCGGTACCGCGACTGCGTGGACAGCACGGTGGCGTACATGAACGCCAACCGCATCCCCAAGTACGTGCAGAACCGCGTGCGCACCTGGTACCAGTACACGTGGCAAGCCCTCGGCATGCTCGGTGAGCACGCACCGCCACCCACCCGCCCGCACGCCACGTCCGCTGCCGGCAAGCGCATTTCTCCAGAGCTTCTTTCCGCGTCGTTCCCCCGCACGCTCCGGCGCGCACGGTTGGCTACGTGGGGCGCTGCTCGTTGGCAGCACGTGCCCCAGCAGGGCCTGTTTGAGGCGACTCGCGGCACCTATGCCTCCGCAGACGAGTCGGAGCTGCTGGATCAGATGCCGGCGAAAATGAGGCTCGACATCGCCGTGGACGTCAACTACCAAATCATCACCAACGTGCAGCTCTTCAAGGTGACGCGTGGCTCACGGCACAGTGGGGGGGGGGGGGGAGGTGGCGCGAGATGGCGCGCGTGTGTGCATGGAGTGGAGAGCGGCAGCGTAGCGGTGGGCTCGCTGCGGCACGAACCCGGCGACCCGGGTTCGATTCCCGCTCCGATTCCCGCTCACGGCCGACACCGGCGACGATTATCTGGGCCTCCCCTAGGCCGACTCGGCCTCAAATGAGTACCCGGCGCGGTGTGTAAACATCGCCACTGGGGAGACAAAGGCGGCCGGGCGTGGCGCTGGACACCGCACCCCCTCGTGTGCCGTGCCGGCCTTGACAGGGTGCCGCTCGCTAAATGGCACTTGCCCCAAAGGTCTTTTGGTGCTAAACACCAGGGGGATCTTTGCCTTTATGCACCCTGCAGGGTTGCGACAAGCAGCTGCTACAGGACATGTTGGTGCGGCTCAGGTCTGTGGTCTACCTGCCCGGGGATTACGTCTGCAAGAAGGTGAGGGCGCGGACGTTGGCAGACACGTGCCTGCCGAATTCTCCGTCTGTCGGTTCACATGGAGGACCCATAGACACGCATAGAGACCCATGTATTCCGAGAGATCCATAGACTCATAGAGGTATCCGTAGGCACGCATAGAGACCCATAGATGTCAGATAGAGACCGATAGATGCGCATGGAGATCCTTAGATTCGCATAGAGACCTATACTGGGTAAACCGTATGGGTTGGCAGGTATGGAGAGAGATAGAGAGAGACAAAGGGAGAGAGAGATATATATATAGAGATAGAGACATCCCTGTCAACTCCTTATCAGTGCCCTCTACCTTATTACAGACCAATTCAGGCCTGTTTGGGTCACCCCGTGCCCCTTATAAATCTCAACGTTCATCCTACAAAGTCCCATCACAAGGGGGAAACACAAACAAATAGACAATTTTTTTGTTGTTGCCCGTATTGAAACGGCTGTACGCCGTATGGACCTGAAAACTCCCTGCACAAGAATACGGGGTAAACCGTACGAGTTGACAGGTGTGCCACCTACACGGGGCTGGACCTTCGTGTTTGCATTTCTTTTTGTTGCAAAGGGAGAGATCGGGAAGGAGATGTACATCATCAAGACAGGAGAGGTCCAGGTGCTGGGCGGTCCGAACGGCATGACAGTGCTCGTGACGCTGAAGTCCGGCGCCGTCTTTGGGGAGATCAGGTGAGCTTCACTCGCGTTCGGGAGATCAGGTGAGCTTCACTCGCATTCGGGAGATCAGGTGAGCGTCGCTCGCGTTCGGGAGATCAGGTGAGCGTCGCTCGCGTTCGGGAGATCAGGTGAGCGTCGCTCGCGTTCGGGAGATCAGGTGAGCGTCGCTCGCGTTCGGGAGATCAGGTGAGCATCGCTCGCGTTCGGGAGATCAGGTGAGCGTCGCTCGCGTTCGGGAGATCAGGTGAGCGTTATTCGCAACGCGGTGCCTCTCACCACCGACGACTCCCGTCAATAAAACGCCCTCCCCCACCCATGAGTGGGGTGCCACGGTGGCTTGGAGATGTTGACTACCTCGCCTGGTATGCAGGAGGCCGTGGGTTCGATCCCGACCCTGATGATGCCTGCTGCTGTATATTTGGACTTTACGTGTCTCTCTCTCCGTGGTCACGCGGATTTTTCTCCGGGTCCTCCGGTTTCTCCCTCCACATGCGTTTAGGGTATTCGGCTGCTCTAAATTTCCACGCGGTGATGATGATGATGATAAGCAACTTCGTTGAGCTGTCGTTTGTGATGGCCAGGTCGCTTCTGTAAAAAGAGCTACGCAGCTCAGTGGGGCCTTACCTGGTGAAGTGAAACTAGCTTTACGTTTTGGATGACGACGACCATCGGTGATCGAACGTGAAGTGTTTTGTGTGTGCAAGAGTGAGCAATTGATCGGGCGAGCGAATGAGCGCACGAGTGGGTGGATCAGTCCATGAACGAGTCGGCGCGCTGCACGACCGATCCGTCGGGTGCGGAGCCGGTTCGAGCGAGCGAGGGGTAACCGCCGGGCCCCACCCCCCCCCCCCCACAACCACATCCCCCCCCCCCCACTGGCATCCCCCTCCCCGCAGCCTGCTGTCGGTGGGCGGCGGCAACCGTCGCACCGCCAACGTGGTGGCGCACGGCTTCGCCAACCTCTTCATCCTCAACAAGCAGGACCTCAACGAGATCCTGGTGCACTACCCCGAGTCCCAGCGCCTCCTCCGCAAGAAGGCCAAGTGAGTGCAGCCATCCCTCCCACCGCCCTCCCCCACGCCCGATAGATACCCCCTCCCCCCCAGTAACTGCTGCTGCTGCTCGTCGCAGCCCTGCCTGGAACACAAAGATAGAGATCCCTCCCCCCCCACCCATATAGCCTTTAGCAGAATGTTGGGGCAAGTGCTGTTAGCGAGTGGCGCCTACGAAGGCCGACGCGGTGACGCTCGCCCACTGGCACGGCTCAGCTTCCGCAGTGGGACAGACAGCGCCTCCCGCTAGCGGACCCCCGGCACCGGCTCGGTTTTCCACCGGTGGAAAGAAAAGAGGCGTCGGAATATTCGCGGCCGCGCCCGCCCGCCCGCCCTCCCCCCCCACCCCCACCACCACCCCCCTTGTCCGCGCGCGTCTCTCCTCCGCTCGCAGGAAGCTGATGTCGAGCAACAAGGAGAAGAAGGCGCCGCCCCCGAGGAAGCCGCACACGAGGCCCATACTGCAGGCCAAGCAGGCGACGCCCAAGATCATCCGCACCATCCTGTTGGCCGCCAGGAAGTCTGGCCTCAGAGGCACATTCGAAAGGCTGCGTAACCACGTGAACAAGCCCAGCACGCAGGTAACCCGCGCGGGGGAAAGGCGAATAGGTGAGCGGAGAGTGGGTGGGTGGGTGAGTGCATGGGTGTGGGTGGGTCTGTGCGTGTGTTGAACTTCTTCCGCACCTAAATTTTGATTTAAAGCTTTCGTGACTGCAGGGATTCATATAGAACCAAAGAGTAAAGAGTAAAATGATAAAAATAAAACAATAACAATTCTCAAAATTTATTTTTGTACTATTTTATTGTTTCCCTTCTACGTGACTTTACCGAAAGAACCAAGAATATTCTTCCGCAACGTGCGTTAGCCGACCGCGGTAATCGGAGGTGCGGTGGAAGGACAACGAAACGCAAAATGCGGTTTGAAAGAAATGAGTTTTCAACGTATAGTTTAAAGTGCATAGCTCCAGTGGCTTTCTTGTGTGGCTGTGTGGGTGGGTATGGTTGAACTTCTTTTGCTCCGTACATATCCCACCCTGCTAATCGGAGATGCGGGGGAAGGAGCAGCCAACTGAACACGAAAGGAAGCTCTCAAAAAATGAGTTTGCTGCTCCCCCTGTGGTCATCGACCACCTCCACGGACAAAACCGCACAATGCGGCGGAGAGGCACGCGTGTCCGTGCGTGCACGTGTGCACGTTCATGGGTTTTATCTCCCTCTTGTCATTCCACCCCCCCCCCTCCCCGCAGGCCCCCACCCTCCCGCCGTCCCTGCTCCCAACCCCGGTCGCGTCTCCCGCCCCGTCCCGGGCCCCCTCCCCCCCGGACTCCCCGCCACCGGCCTCGAGCCCCCGCGAGCCCCCGCAAGCCCCCGGCCGCTCTGCGGAGGAGAAGGAGGTGGACGAGGAGCTGTCTGAGTGGTCGGATAATTCCACGTCGAGGCCGGTGGTGCACAGGCCCGCGGAGGACGGCACTGGCCCTGGTGGCCACGGTGGGAGAGGTTAAGCACTGCCGTGTGGAGGCTGTGGTGCTGGAACTGTTCGGGGCTGAGCTCCGGAAAACTACATTGTCGTCTGGCGACGAGAAATCAAGCCCGGAAACAACACCATCATCATCATCATTGTCATTATCACAACCTCAGAATTATCGTCATCATAACCACCGCCATCACCACCACTACCGCCATCACCACCACCACCACCACCACCACCGTCACTTTCAACTTTACCACCAGCACAATAATCATCACCACCACCACCACCACACCACCGTCATTTTCAACTTTACCACCATCATTATCATCATCACCACCACCACCATCATCACCACCATCATCACCACCATGTGCGTGCGGGAACGATGGCCACCTGGTTGTGATGAGTAACGCAACTCTCTTCCGGCTCCTAACTGCGACCCCCTTCCTATCCATACATCTCGATGCAGTCTAAACCTCTATTCATAACATTGACCATATCCCGAGACCCAGCACTATCCCTACCACTAACCCTATCACAACCCCTAATGCTATACCAACCCATAACCATAACATTAACCTTATCTCTAACATTAACCATATCCCTGCTCCAAATACTATCCCTACCCCTAACACTATCCCTACTCCTAGCATTATTCTTACCCATAAAACTAGCCCTATCCTAACCCCTTAAGTTACACATTCCCATATTTAACCCTATCCTTTTCATAAACCCCGTGCCTAACCTTATCCCCACATCTAACCATCGCAAACCCCATCCCTAACGATAGCCATATTCTGACTCCCAACCCTATCCCTCCCTGAGCACCAGCTCCCACTTTACGCCTATCGCGTCACTCACCCCATCCAGGGGCAGAGCCAGGATTTCAGGCCGGGGTGACATTCAACAAATTTTAATTTCAAGAATGATTAGAGAGTCAGGCTGTTGAACTAGACGCCATCGGTTGGTGACACACTGACAATGCAGTTGCACGGAGTTCGCCAGACCGAGTGTCGTACACTTACACGCAGAATGTCACCCCTGTCACCCCCCCTGGCTCCGCCCCTGACCCCATCAACCCTGTAGCACAATCACAATGTTGTTCCCAACTATCGCTCTCGTTTACCCCGCAAAGCCTCGCCGAGTCTCGCGGGTGGCGGAGGGGCTCACGACACAATATTTGGGCGGATAATTACGCGGGCTAAGCCCCAATAACCCCCCCCCCCAAAGTTTGCGAGCCATCATACTGGATGCGGAGACCTGCTCCACTGTAACATTTGAGGATGTGGGTTATGGAGCCTGTATGCACTGACTGCCTTGCGAATGAATCACAATATTGACTACTTACTGGAGGAATCCGATGAGCTATGAAGCTCTTATTTCACAGATGTCCACGGGGTCAGGACGTTATAACAACAAAACAATAGGATAGCAGTGTAAAGCTTCGGAAAGGTAAACAAATCACCGATGAAAAGATATACAAATAAAACTAAACAATTTTGACCTTACCAGGTAAAATCCACTGAGCAATTGGCGTATTGTTTTTTTAGAAGCGACCTTGGCCACAAATGATAGCTCAACGAAGTGGCTGATCACGTGGAAATGTGTAGAGGCCAAACACTCTGAACACGTGGTGTTTGATTGTGAATGTGTAGGGAAAGAACGGAGAGAAAAACACCCACGTGACCACGGAGAGAGAGAGAACATGCAAACTCCAAATATGCAGCAGGCGTCAGGGTCGGGATCAAACCCACGACCTCTTTCCGTCGTAACCTTCTAAAAGAGCTTCACAGCTCATCGGATTTCCTCCTGCAGCCTAAATAAACATTCCGAATCCAATAACCTTCAGATCAGCGACACAACTCTTGACCACTTTATGTGCTTTGACACGAGCGATGTTTGGTTTAGCCGCAGATCGACACGAGTGCGCACGTGTAAACGTCACAGCGAATATGACTTTATATATATACTTGAACACAATAAACCCATCCGGAGTGCTGTCCGTCGTTGCGAATCCGTCGCTCGTTCCCGTCGTGCGGCCGCGAGCTCTGGGAGGTGGAAACTCGCCGTCCCAACGTTGAGCCGAGATATTTCCGCTGCCGGGCAAAGACCACCTGCTGACCGCCCGCCAGGTGACCAGGTGATCAGGTGACCAGGTGACCCCCATTGCCCTCAGCGCGCTGCCTGAGCGCAGGCTACGAGGCATCTGTGACGTTCGTGACGATGACGATGACGTCGGCCTCCAACAGTGGCCATCATCATCGATGGCACCGCCATCGATTCCCGCTAACGGCCAACGCCAGTGATGATTATTTTAACCGGTCCTGGGCCGTCCCCTGGGTAGACTCAGCCTCAAACGAGTACCTGGTGCGGTGTGTAGTAAACATCGCCACTCGGGAGACAAGGGCTGCCGGGCGGGTGTGGTGCTGGCCACCCAATCCCCTTGTGGGCCCTTCCAGGCTACCATAGGTGCTGCTCGCTAACAGCACTTGCTCCAACAGTCTGTGAAGGCTCCACGGGGGATCTTTGCCTTGGGTGCCCAGGGCTCTGGTGCGATCGGACCGCAGCGTCCGCCCGGGCGACGAACCTAACCGAGGTGCCGCTGTTTGCGAGGCGCACGAGTGTCGCCACTGGCGCTGCAGCCCTCGGGGCCTGCTCGAGTTAAGCACGTGGCTCTGAGCCGGCTTACTTGAGGTCGTCGACAGACCTGAGCCGAGCCGTGCCCGACAAATCCCCACTCCTCCGTAATAATCCGCTGTCCACTCTTCCTCCCCCCACCGCCCCCTCCCCTCCCCCAATGACGTAACACGGTGCCACTCTTCAGAAGTACCGGGGATCTCGGAACGCTCGTCAACGAAGGGATTCAACCAGGGCGTCTTGTATTCCATCTACGTGAAGTTCGACTCAACACGGCGATGTTTGAGAGACATCGGCCGGGCGCGGGTGGCGTGCATTCAGAATGAAATGTGCTAATACCCCGTTATTCACGAACTTGGCTGTCCGCGACTTTGGCCATCCGCGAATCGCAGCTGGAACTCTACACGACTGCTGGATCGAGAGATAGAGAGAGCGAGAGACGGAAAGAGAAAAGCGATGAGAGAGAAAGCGACGAGAGAAAGCGACGAGTGATAAAGCGATGCGATTCATTATCTACGTATTGATTGGAGGTAATTATTTGCTTATGTTTTCGTACAGCCAATATCATTGTCCGCGAAAAGTGCATCTCTCAGAACGTATCCTTCATCGCGAATAGCGAGGGAACGCCGAACAGCAGCAGCAAGCAGGAAGAAGTCCTTCGGGTTTCGTGACGAGCCGATCGGTTCCGCAGGCCCCGGCAGGGGGGGGGGTCCCTGTTGGCTCTCTCCGTGGGGCCTCCACTGAGGGCCCCTTTTTTCTGTCATTTCCTTTGGGCCGCTCTTACGGTCATTCTTGGTCCTCCATATCTTGAGCTGGGGGAAAGAAGAAAAACAACCCACGTCACGTGCAAAATTAGCATCATTATTATTAATGTTGCTGTTGTGTGCCATTCCAGTTCAGTCATTTGCCAGTGTAATTTTTCATCCATTGGGAATGCTGATTTGGCCTATACCAGTTTACATTGCGTGTGTGTTCGGTTTTTTTAATGGGGAGCGGTAGTGTAGCAGTTACTGTAGCGCGCTGCGCTACGAACCTGGAGCCCTGAGTTCGATTCGCGCTCGCGGCCAACACCAGTGACGATTATCTGAACCGGTCCTGGGCCTCCCCGAGGTAGACTCAGCCTCAAATGGGTACCTGGTGCGATGTGTAAACATCGCCACTAGGGAGACAAAGGCAGCCGGGCGCGGTGTTGGCCACCCACCCGCTCGTGTGCCGTCCCGGCCTTCAGAGTCTCCACTCGCTAACAGCACTTGCCCCAACTGTCTGTTACGGCTACATGGGGGATCTTTGTCTGGAGAAGAAGCCGGAGGAAGCCCATGCAGAACGGGGGGTGGGGGGAGGGGGGGGGGATCGAGTACACACAAAGCTCCGCACACCTAAGGGAATCCGAATGGGACGCCATTCAGGAATCGACGGACGTAACCGCCGTCGCAGACTAAAAAGCCGACCATCAAATGATGTTCTTCATCAGGGTGTCAACATAAACCATCGTCACGTGAACTCCGGTCATCCTCGCAGCAGCAGCAGCAGCAGCTTCTGGCTGCTGGCCGTCGAACAAAGACGGTGGCCTCCATATCGTCACGCGTACGCCTTCAGATGCGCTGCTGTTACGGCCGTCTGGAACGCTCTTCCTTTCGATATTCGGAAGCCACTGGAGCTCTGCAGTTATGAATGATCTCAATCATTTCTTTAGAACTGCTTTCACGTTTAGTCTGTTGTCCTTCCCCTTATAGACTCACAGAGACCCACAGACTCACACAGAGACCCACAGACTCACACAGAGACCCATAGACTCACACAGAGACCCATAGACTCACATAGAGATGCACAGACTCATGGAGATTGAAAACTAGATTTAAACAGTAATTTTTTAAAGAACTGCTTCATGCGTTTAGTGTGTTGTCCTTCCCCATGCACCAGCAATTAGCACGTTTGGCTACGTACGGTGCGAAAGAAATTCTACATGCATACATACATACATACTCACCATACAGAGACTCATTGACTGATCGCACAGAGACCCATAGACTCACCACACAGAGACCCATAGACTCATCACACAGAGACCCATAGACTCATCACACAGAGACCCATAGATTCACTCACACAGAGACCCATAGACTCACTCAGAGACCCATAGACTTACTCACACAGAGACCCATAGACTCACCACACAGAGACCCATAGACTCATCACACAAAGACCCATAGACTCATCACGCAGCAACCTCCGATTAGCGCGGTTGGCTACTTACGCTGCGAAAGAAGTTCAACATGCTGTACATACGCACACACACACACACCCAGGCCTCTTCTTGCCGTGTGGCGCGAGTCTTATCCGTGCGCTGCCGCACGAATTATACCATTTATCCCTCTCCAACATCATCCTCCTCCTCCAGCATGCGCGTCCTCATCGTCAACGGAGCACTGACTTACCGCGTGCACAGCACCACGAACACGCCACTCAGGGCGATCAGGGCAAGGACCGTCAGGCCCAGGTACACCGAGATTTTGATCTTTTGCTCAAATGTTGAGAACACTACAAACAAGAGGTGGGGCGGGAGAAATCGCTCATCAATATCACTGCTACTAAAGCTACTGTTATCTATATATTTT